ATTTCTTTTTATAGATTCATAATAAGCGTCTGTTTAGATTTTTTTATTTTATTTGTATGAACTAGTTTGATAGAATCAGTAGTCGGAGTTCGGAGGTTACGCTCTACAAGTAGCCAAACAACACTGTAGTCGCTATTTTTTTTTTTTTTTTCATAGTCTGTAGTGTATTGCGCTACATTAAAAAAAGTAAAGCAGTGAGTAGTAATAACGGTAGTTTCCGAGCTTATCGTTAGTTCAATAAAGAAATAAGCTTCAAACTTATTTTTCGAATCTGATGAGTCGCAGATCGGTCAATGGACGCAATGTCCGAGTATTAATGAGATTGATGCAGCAAGATTTTAAAAGTGAGACTCATGAAACTATTTCAGTGCAATGGAACATATTTTTGATGTATTTAATTTCGTAGAGAAAATGGAAGAACATTTCTCAATCACAAATATTTGAAAATTTCTTAGCATGTCATGATAATGTTTAAATGTTCGCTGTCGAGAAAGGCATAAAAAATGAAAGGTTAAAAGAGCGTTAAAAAGGGTTTAGAATAATGAACTGGCTCATGCAACCATGAATAAATAATTCGTGATAATTCCTCATGTTTAAATAACCAAATTTCTTCGAACATGGGTGTAACTTTCTTTAGTAAAGTTCGTCTTTTAAAAGTAATGAAATAGTAACTAAATTTGAAAAGTAGATTGTTGTCGCTACATTAAAAAAAGTAGTTGTAGTTATATTCATTTGCAATAAAATGCCTGTAGTTATCATAATATTAATAAACAAAATCAACTAAGAGATGAAAATGCTGAGACCCAATAAATGAAGAAAACAGAGAAAGTAAGAACTAACAAAATATTATATTAAATACTAAATATCTAAATATTTTAAAATTTTAAATAAAATCAGTTGTAAAAGAGCAAAATACAGCAATTATACAGCGAAAGAGCAATTATACTGTCAATGCATGAATGCAAAGCACAGCACAACATTTAAATTTGGGATTTCAGCATTCAAATTTGAAAGTTTTTGTACCACATAACTTTCAGTTATTCCATTTAATTAACACGCGTCTATATTCAATACCACGCATAGAAAATTAAAATTAGTACGACTAAACTTTTATTAAATGATGCGAAAAACTATTTTTCATTACTTATTTTGTGACTCTCCAAACATATTTCAAACGACAAATTAGACCTCCATGTGAATTATTTTAGAGACATTTATCGGACATTTGGAGAAAATTGCCGTTGAACTCATTTCAATACAATAAGTTTTATTAGAATGTTCTTTAACGTATATATAGTTTTTTTTAAGGTTGATTAAAACTTTGGAAAATGCTAATTAGAAATAACTAGATTCATATTAGATAAGTGAATTATGTCATTTTATGTATTTGCTTCTTTAAATGCTTTTAAATGCCAAACAATTTCATTGACAGTTAGTCCCTATAAACTTATCTATTTTTTTANTATATGCTTTCATTCTTTTTTTTTTCGTATAGTGATGGTTCTTCTTATATTTATTTATTTATTGTAGCAATGTGTTACAGAATAGAGAAAACATTTGCTCGACTAAGACTCGGGTTAACTAGAAATCAGGTCTTTTTGATAGATTTTAATCTCTTATGACAATTTTTTTAGTTTTAAGTGGACAAAAATATTACTCGAATAAATAATAGGAAAATTTTTTAAATTAATAGCTTAATTAATCACTGTTGAGGTTTTTTAGCCTATGTTTAACAGAGCTATTGAAAATGGCTAAACGACAGTCTTCGAAAAATCGAAAATAATAAATGAATTTATAATATCTTTTTTTTATATATAAATTTATAAGCCAAACTTATTTAAGTCACTCATTAGTTAAAATTATATAGGAACGAATTTAATTCATCAATTGTAATAACTTTCTAGTTTCAGAATAATCATTTAAAAAAATTTTGGTCACAAAATGTTTATGCGTGTGCGAATGAGAAATATTGATAGGTAGTTCTTATCTTATAATGGTTTTCATAATTTCAATATTTTGTGCAAAGATATTTTATTAAAATTTATTTCATCAATTGTTATAATACAAAGAAGTAATTTGGAAATGTCTACCATTTTTTCTATCATAAAACAGAAATATATAGTTTGAAATTAACAATTGCTTAGTAATTGTTAATTTAAAATTAATATTAATATTATCATTTTAATATTAATATTTACCAATCATATCAATATTTACCTGCTATTTGGTGGAAATTGTAATCGATGCTAAGTAAACGTGCACAGTTATTTTTGCTTTACAATATTAAAATGCATATATCGCTGAGCAAATTCTTCCTTTTAATCTGTTAATATTAGTTCAATAAGTGACATGCTACGAGAGAGAATTGGTCATCAATCCCAGCTTTTCAATCGATATTCAAACTTAAACATTATTTTTGTTATAAAATTAATTTTTTTTATTTGGGTAAATATTTGGTTGAAGCAGAATATTCTATGAAAAACAAAATGTGATTCTCAAATAAGTTTTATCCTAAATATATTTTATAGTTAAAGTTTTAGGACAATTTTACTGAAAACATTGAATTTTAACTGTAGAATAATTTTCGCATACCTTTAAACCAAAATGAATTCAAAATACGGATTTAGAGTTTTAAAAATATACATCTCTTCTAATGTTTATTTTTTTATATATATTATTTATTTATATATAGTCNTTTTTTTTTTTTTTTTTTTTTTTTTTTTTTTTTTTTTTTTTTTGCACATTTCCAGTGGTGACATTATTACTTCCCTGTTTTCAAAGTCATCTAATGAAGGAATTTGCTCTAGACCACTGCGCACCTCTGCACGCCACTGCGCACCTCTGCACGCCACTGAGTTCAGTACCCATATTTTGCCTCATCTTCTTTAAAGTCTTATTATTGAGCGAACAAAAGATGAACATTTTGTGCTAATGGAGTGGTAATGAATTGGCTCTCAAAAATTATCGAATTTTTTTTTCTTCGGAAAACGCGGAAACAACATTGCATGGGTGCATAAATTGATAACTTAGATAGAGGGGGTTTCTTTGCAATATGTGAATAACTATTGAAAATTTCACTATCCTACTCATTTGTTAAGTTTTTCTGAGCCTGATTCTAAAAAAAAATTCTCTCCCGTCAAGTATAGGAAATGAAACCGCATTCCGAATTATCTCTGTGTTCTGAAGGAATTATGGAAATTGTTCTGAGTATAGAGAAAAGGTTAGAAGTCATCGAGAAGCAAACTGGTTTTCTTGCTTTTAAAGTCCTTCAAATAAAATGTGAAAAAGAATAGAAAAAGAAAACAAGCTAAAACGCATATTATTAAAAGGTAACCATCACTAACTGGAGTGGAAATAGTTGCTTTTTTTTCGCGATCTTCTTCATTGTTTGTTTGGTTTGAACCGCACGAACGAGTTAATTTCGTTTTTGTTCGTTTACTTTCGAGTAGGAAGTGTTGTGCAATCAATCTTTTACATTTTTCTATCAAAAAGATTAATATGTTCTTCTAGTTGATTTCATAATTCATACTTTTAATTTATTGTTGACCTTTTACTATCAAGGTTATCTGCCTAAACACAAAAGGGTTATTCAAGAAAATGCGTGACTCACCCCCCCCCCTTCACATCCACAGCTGTTATCGAATCAAAGAGATGTTTCGAAAAAGTTAGGAGGTATTACTGCGAATCCTTGTAAGTCCTTTCTAATGCGTAAATAATGGTTAATTATGTGTTCGGTGAGTTATAATGCAAGTTTTAGGCATTTTAATCGTGTTCCAATGCTCTCATTAAGCTGTCCCTAACTCTTGGGTCCCTAGTGATACTGAGCCTAGGACTTTTTTCAAGGGTTTCATATCAATTTGTCCGAGCGAGAAGTAGACGCACTCTCCTTGACCCATAAGAAAGACATGGATTAGGAATACTATATATGTATGGAATAAGGAGTGTTTATTTTTCATTATGTTTTTTTACTTGTTCATTTAGTAGTTAGTGAGCTACACAAAAATTTATTTTGCAAAATGGGTAGCTCTCGCCACTAAAAAGGTTAGAACCACTACTCTAATTCTGGCTCTGTATCTGGGCTAAAGTATCCGGTCACCTACCTAGAGCACCATAATGTTTCACCTGAACCCTCTAATTCCTTAAAATGGTAACTCCGAGATGTGTGTGGGCATTCTGGACAATGCTGGTCTATGCTCTCCAAATTCTATGACAAAATTTTTAAAATAATCAATCAAAACAATTTGAAACATGTTTCTTTTTATGTTCTTATCGTGATTGGTTTCACTGATATGTGTACACCTAACAATTTGTAAACAGTTGTCGCGATTGCAGCACCATCTGTGAAACAAGTTGCGTAAACGAATCTGCAATATAAAAAAAATATGAGTTTTAATTTAAAATTGCCTTCAGGAGGTATCTTTGAAAGCTTTTAAAGAAATATTGTATTTAATATTGTAATTCATAAATTTTCAATTTTTTCAATCCAATGCAAATTTTTCGAAATATTTGACCGTTTCAACCGTAATCAACACACCATGCAATTAAAATAATAGTAATATTTATAACAATTTAGTGGTCTTAACGTCGGACCACCGGCCCCTCAGCTTTCCTCTACGCACTACTAGATCAACACTATATACTAAGTGCAAATAATGTAGCACATTCATTTACTTATTATCCATCATACTGACTCATAAAATCATGAATAGTATTCAAATCACTCTTTCGTAATCTGATAATATTAATCATATAACTTATTTATTTACTTATTTATTTTCTAGCATTATTCTCCGCGTGTCTTTATGTTTTAGTTTGTTTTATTTATTTTTATTTTATGATGCTTTCTACCTTCTGTAAATTTGCTTCGGTAAAACTAGAATAGATTAGGAAAGCATTCGTGAGCTGAAAACGTTTTCTTACCGAAACGTTATTGCAAAGATTATTTTTTATTACCTTTTTCATTTAAAATTAAAGCCAAACAATCTAAAATGTAAAACAATCAACGTCCCCATCCTCTTAGCGGGCAACAATAAAATTTTTTAACGTTGACTGGTTAAATCCTGCAATGCCTTGTACTGGTAGTACTGCCTTAAATCCTGCCTTTTTTAAGGGCTTTAAATGATAAAAATATGTATATATATATATATTTCTGAAATTATTATTTATTTAATTTTCTATGGTAAAAGATGAATCAGAAAAGGTCAATTCTACATACAGAAGTGGGGTGAGTGTGTTGGGTGGCGGCAACTGAAGAATTGCTGTGAAGGGAATATTATGTGTTGGAATGACTGAGAATCATCATTTATTCTCCTTATATGCGCTCTCCTGATAATCATTTGGAGTCAAGGTCCGAATTTTAAGACTATTTTCTGTTTTAACGAATCAGTGTAACTGAATAGAGGTGATGGCGGACGAATCTTTCGTCTGAACTTCATCCAATGTAATCAACACATTCTGTATTAATACGGTACAGCTTCGATTATCAGAGCATCTTTCATACCAAAATCTCTGAAGTTTTTTTCTTTATCCCTTTCTCTCTTCTCTTTTTCTTTTATATGTCCTTGCATAATTTTCTGTTCCTTTACTTTCAATAAATGCATGGCTCTTCATCTTCCAAAATAGGGTGAGTACACTTTAAAAACAGTACAATTCTGAACCATTAAACCTGTTATACAGAGTAACTCTAAAATTAAGTGTTAACAGATAATAAAACATTCAGGGCTGGATCAAGAGGGGGACTCCATGGGTTGTAGCCCCAGGCCCCCAAATTTTTAAGTCCTTTCATAAGGGACCTCTAAAGTTTACTTAAGTGAAATTGATCTTTTCGATTTTCTAAAAATTGAGTCGGTATTTTCTAGTGTAATGTTTTTCGATGTTCCTTTAAAATCATTAAAAATGTATTATGCATTTTAAGTGCGAAATTCAAAAAATATAATTTTAAAAAAGTATTTGGTCTTCTTGTTTCCTTTTACTTCTCTTCCACCTCCCTAATTTCATCGATTATCTTCTTTTGATTGGTTTTATAACTAATTTTTTGTTACCAAAAATGTAAAAAGTTGAGTCAATACAAAAAATTCTAATTTGTTTCCTTCGATTTCAAAAATTTGCATATTTCTACTTCTTAAGAGTTAGTAATCTGATGCAGGATGTTTTGATGACATAGACACTAAATCTTATTTTAATGTTTAATTTAGTTATTTTTGAAAAAAATCAAAATTTCAAAAATCTTTTTCTTTTTGAATTTAAAAAAAAAACTTAACTGAAATTGCACTTTATGAAAAGTTTCAATATTTCTGAATATAGGTGAATTGTGGTAAATTCGTCATAGGTAGGGCCATAAGCTGCAAATCATTCCCAGACCCCATCCTACAATAATCCAACCTTGTGAACAATACTTCATTTGTCCGAATAGCAATATGAATTGGTTAATAAGTGCGAAGTACAAAACTGTACCTTTTGACTCAAAACCCCTCGTCACTTCAAAATCATTTATTCTATCGATTAGTCTCATTTGATTGATTCCGCGTGGGAAAAAAAAAGCAAGGAAATAGTCCATCACTTAATGAGAGTATGCATGCACCTACTTTTAAGCATTTCAACTTCGTCGTCTTTTATGACCCTATTCATATTTCCCTAAGATATTTTTAATGCAGTGTAAAAAACGTACGTAAGCACAAGTGAAATATAGTACTTCTAATATAGTAAATAATAAATACTTATATATAATAAATACTTATATATAATAAATACTCTAATATAGTAAATATAGTAGTGAAATATAGTAAATAAACATAAAAACCTTTTAACTTTTAAACTGTTCCTCCTGTTGAATCGTATTTAATATTTAATTCAAATCTGCGTCAGAAAATTATTTAGGAAGCAATACTCCGACGAAGAAATCTTAACAATTTCATTAAAAGCTTCACCACGTGACTTTTTGCATAAACTTGCGAATCGTTCCCGTGTATGCATTGGGTAATAAAATTTACTCAACGAAGAATCATGGATGAAAACTTTGCTATCACTAGATGAGATTTTTAGTGAAGAAAGTTGAGCAGTCATTATGTTTAAGATTATTTACTCAAGGTTTAATGAGCTCCATTTTTATTTAAGATGTATTTCCCCTACTTCTTTTTTATGCGGAAATACCAATTTTAAAGAAGAAAAAAAAAGAAAAGATTATTGAAAAACTTAATGATAGCTGATCTATCATTCAAAATGCAGATAACCATTCAAATTTTAAATAAATGAATTAAAAGATATATTTAAAGTTTGGATGTGTAAGCTTTTTTTGGCCAACTTATAAAAACTAATGAACACACTATCACCGCCTCTTCCCCTACATAAATACGAATTCAAAGTCTGAAAATATGTCTATCGTTAAAATAATCATAAAATTTGTCAAAATCTTCTTTTTAAATATACAAATTCATAATTTTAAAATTATAAATTTGCATAAAGACCGATTGAAAAGTGTGTGATGAAGTTGTGCGAGTATGTATACACAGCTAATGAAAATCTGGGGATGGTCATTCATCAAATCAACCTCACAGCTTTGAAAACCGGATTATTATTTTCTTTTCTTATTATTATTATAAAGAAGTAACATTTAAAGAAGGAAAACAACTATCAATAGTCGATCCATTCATCATCTTTTATTATTTATCTTCCGTATTTAAAATAAATATTCAAGGAAATTAAAGACTAGAGGATTCTTTCGCAACTTTTATTGGTTTTTATTTTATACGCTGAAATAACGCAATTATTCTCAGTAATTCATTATGCTAATACTTTCAGATGGGCAAAATAAAAACATCCAATAACTTTTATTCTAATGATCCGATTATTATTATGTACTTATGAGCAGTCATACAGTCCGTCTACAAAAATTAATTACCTGAGATTTGCTAATTAATTTTTGCAAACGATATTTTAAGTTACGAAGTCCGGCACAAAAAAAAATCACAATTGCTCTGAATAAATAAAAAATTTTTTCCGACGAATTTGGAAATATAAGGAGTATCCTCAATTTTAAAAATGGGGTCAAAATAGTATAAACTGGAGAATGGTCATCAGTTTGGGATCCATCATGATAATTTAAATTTTTGCACAATACTCTAAAAAAATTTAAGATAATCAGAAAATTTTTGAAAACAATTATTTATAAAATTATTAAATCTAAAGATCATGTAAAATTAATTTTTAAAAATTATATATACCTTTTTTTACTTATTAACAGTTGAAATATTTTTTTGAATTGTAAGGATGAATTAACATTTTTGCATCATTTTAAATTGGGAAAAAAAAACATTTTTACAAAATCGATCGAATAGTTCACGAGAAATCTTATTTGAAATATATGACCTTTCTTAGACTTGGATTACTAAAACTTACAGTGCAGATTTATATGCCGTGAGGAAATCTCATAAGGGTGTCAGAACACAACCACGTCAGAACCCCTGAGTTGGAAATTAGAATGTAACCGTAGAACTACTTTGAGCAGAAGTAAATCTGTGGTTTTTGCCTTTTTCAAGTACACGATATAATTTAAATGATCTCTTTAATTCATACTCAATAATTATATTCCTGATAAATAGAAATGAAATTTTCCTTTTATTTCCTCACAGCCTTGACCTTTGTCCAAAATCAAATAACCATCATTATTAACCTTCCAAGAAAGATTTTTAATAATTTTGTTTCTTTTTCTAAAATTATTTTTTATAATTGTTTTTTATTGTTATTACGTAATCTTATGGATAATTTTCAATTATATTACGTGTATAAAATTGAATCCTGCTATAATGAACCTCAATTATAATCAGTAGTAAGCGCACTACAAGTAGAGAAACTACTGTACTTTTTTTCGTAGTTTGTAGTGTAGTGAACTACTTTTCTAAAAATAAAGTAGCGTAGTGAGTTGTGCAATACAGAAAAATGGTAGTTGTTAGCTTTTCCTGTCAACTACTTTTAGAGTTTAGTAAAGAAACACGACTCATTTTTTAGAATTTGATTTATAAAAGTTTTCTCGGTTCCGTCAATGCATGCAATGACCCTGTAGCTGCAGCAGAGCAGGAAATACGTATTTTAGAATCATGTATAACTGATATTTCAACAATATTACAAAACGATATGTAATTCATAACTTTAATTTTTAATACAACGTAGAAACACTGTAAAAACCGAAAATGGTGTTACTACTATTTTATACCAAAGTGGGTAATGAAACACCAAATATGTTCTTTTACACTACTCAAGTAGCGGCCACCATTTTTGATATTCAAATACATTGAAATTTATAATTACAGTAAGATATGATGCACATAAGAAGTTATTTTCTCATGCCATGACATTAAACACACAGAGAGAATATTAATTTCGATTCGCATTAGGCTTAACAAAATCGAAATGAATAGAAATTATTTAATATAACTGGCGGATTTATGTAAATCTAATGAGAATACGGAGATAATGAACATTTTTTTCTAATTTTTTCATTTAATTCGCCTTTGTATGCCCTTCCAGACAGCAAATACTTAATTTGAGAAATGCTGGGAAATTTTCAATTTCGTGAAGTGTTTAATGCTCTTTCATTTCTTCTCAGAAATTAAGTACATCGAAAATATGTTCTCTTTCTTTGAAATAACATCAATAATTGTTGAAATAACATCAATGTTCATCAAATTCGAAAAATTAGTTGATCCTGTTTCTTTATTATGCTAACGTAAAAGGTAGTAGCCAGGCATCGCTACAAACTACTGTTTTTTTGTATCGCACTACTCACTACACAACTTTGGAAAAAAAATAGCTCACTGCACTACAAACTACAAAAAAAGTAGCGGCTGCGGTAGTTTAACTATATGTAGTGCGCTACTTCCGACCACTGGGTGTAAGTTTCCTTAATTGTTGTATGAAGGCTAGTTAACTTGAATTAACACTCAAATTTTATAGTTTCGACGCTAAATTCGGATAGTTTTTCCTCTTTCATCACAGTTTCTACAGTGTTTATGCGGATTGTTTTCTTCTATTCTAAATTAAAATACTTCTTTCAACTTTGAGCAGTTTTTAAATCTTAAGAATTTCATGCCGCCTTCTGATCTTTTGGAACCCGAATAAATTAACTTTTAAATATTAGATCATTTTTAAATTTTGGAACTAAAAGACTATTCGACCAACTTCATTCAAACTTTCTATTTTGCCATTTAAAAAATTACATTCTTTAAAATAATGCAAAAAAATTGCAAACTTCGCAAATAATTTTTTTTTCGCACCGCTTTTTACGCACGCAGAACATTTTTTTGCATAAAGTTTTGAATAATCTACATTGGTTTTTCACGTAATCATTTGTGCTCAATTCTTGATAGCAGAAGGTTAATATTTCAGATAAATTGTTTATGCACTTTTTGATGTAGATTAACTCTCAAAACATTTTTATTTTCGAATACATGCTTTGGAATACACATTATTTTGAATACGTGACATGGATTTACACGCAAATTCTTCGATTTTAATAATAAAAAATGCTCCTTGTTTATCGTGATTTTCAACGATGCGTGAATTCATTTATGTATTTTTCAATTTTTCTAGCAGTGAATAAACAAAAATGGGACTAGTTTATCAATACTTCAATAGGTCGATGTTCGGATTTGGCTTTCATATAATAATTCCATTAAAATCCATTTGATTTGCAATGAAATACAGCATTTAAATTATTTCCAAAAGATAAATTGGTTCGTGAAAGATTTTACAAACCGATTTATCAATAAGCTGAATACAAAAGGAAAAGAAAGGAAAAGAATTTAGAGAAAAAAAATTTATGGAAGAAGAAAAAAGGAAAAGAATTTATCTTATTTATTTGTTTATTTTTACATAGTTGGGGTTATTTTTGAAGATTTTATGTCTTTTTTCATCACTCGATGGTATATTCCTAATGAGCTTAAACTCCTGTGTTCACTATACCCTTTTTTTATTGCAATTTTTACACGATGGTATTTATTGATTTCGAAATCTTCCTAAAAACAATTCTACCCTATTTGTTCGAAAAAAAAAATAATTAAATGTGATTCACTCTAGAAGATTGTATTCTGACAACCATCCCGCTCTGGAATGTCAGCTGAATACACCGCTTTATATGCTGCATATACACACCTGAATAGAAATATCTGAGACATGTATAGGTTTTTATTGTTCAAAGAGTGCCTTCTTTTAGTAAGCGTTAAATATCTAATGTTAAAATTTATTGTAGGAAAACCTGAATAACTTACGATAGTTCGTACTAATTGTCAATCTCAAGAAATTTAAATTTGGTGCTTAATGTGTGCTAATTATCAATTAAGTTAAGTCAGACACAGAATCTTATTTTTTGCTGATTTGGATTATTGACCCTCAAAATATGAGGAGAAAGCAGTCGCAAAAAAAAAAAAAANAAAAAAAAAAAGGTAAGCATTAGAAGAGCGATTAATTGCTTGAAACCCTTTGTGTAAATCTCCTTTTTTATACTTCGTTACGTCTCTGAAATATTTTAAACAGATCAAAAAAAATTCTGCTCACAAATATAAAATTAGACCAAACAATTCCATATAAAAATAATTTTTTAATAATTTTATTATCTTTCATTATTTTATTTAATAATACAGTTGGAATAATTATGAATTACATAGTATACAAAATTTTACATAATTTTAAATAATAAAATACAAAAATTGAATAAAATCAGTCAAATAGTTTCTAGAGTCTTAAAAATTGAAAAAAAAAATCTTATTGTTTAATTTTTGTTTCTTTGAAACTATTGAATCGATTTCATTCAAACTTTATGTTTTAGCACTAAAAATGACGTAGATTAATTTTTGTGTATGCGAAATTTAACAATTATTTAATTTAAGATCTCCAGATGACTTTTCCTCAAAAAACTTTAAATTTATTTTGAGTCATTTGACACCAAGTATGAGATGTTACTTCAAAAAATTTTAAAATTTCCGAAGAAATATCGAAACTTACTCACTTAAGAAAATAACCCATCCATTTCTTAAACTGTAATAATATTTTTTTTCTTTTATCTAAGAATAAAATAGTTTTTTTTATAAAAATATTATCATTTACTTTATATTATTTATTTCATTTTATTTTAAATCTTAAAAATTTTAAAAATGTGTCATACTATCTTTATTTTTCTTGAAGTTTTTGCTGGAAAAAAATTAAATTATAAAAGTTTTTTGCATCGCTTGACAAAAATTGTTGATTTTAAATAATGTTTGAGTTTTTGTTAAATTCCTGAAAAAAATATAAATCCTAAGTTAAATCGAAAGAAAAAGTTACGCATTGATGCTTTCTAGATGAAATCAAACACTTAAAATGTTTGTTATTCCTTATGATTCTGTGCAATATTACACAGACTCTTTTCATTGCTTCATTTTCTTTTTTTTTTAAAGCAAAGGTCAATTTTAATGCACGAGTCATGTGACCAATCTGCTTTCTAGTTTAGACACGTGATTGATCGCGACGATATATCGGAATTTCATATCTAACGAGTTTTAGAAAGATTTAAAGATAGTTAAATTCGACAGATCATAACTAACACTGCGTCAGTTAGCTGGGCTCTTTTCTTTCTTCTTTCCTTCTTTTTCCAATAAAAGGGGAATTATTATTTATTATTATTATTTTGTTTCAGTAATTAGCGTTTAAGGTTGATGTTTCCTAATGATTAAGTATGAACAAATTGCTATTAACGACATATTTTAAAATCAAGGATTCTAAATTTAACTCAACTTATCGTTATAAAAGAATGTGTAGATAAAAAAAGTGTCGATATATGCTTTCATTTTTCTTAATAATTAAAGTTGAAACTGAACTTTTTAAAATAAAGTATTTATAGTGTCATTTTCGCCAACTAGTAAAACATTTTTATAAGTTTGAAATGTTTTTTTTTTTTTATATGATAACCAAGAAAGTTTTTTTGAACTATGTTTATGAACGGAAATAATGTGTTAATTACGCAAAGTTTGAAAACTAATAACCAGAAAAAGTCCAACTTATTTTTACAAAGAGAAAGATGCAAAGTTATCATATCGTTGCTTGCGATCTCCGAGATCTGTGGACACAGTGACGTCATGAGGAGGGAAATCGTAGCTTCAGCTCTAAGAGCGGAGCCCCTTATCATTTATTTTGGAGCAAAAGCTTTTCCTCCAATAATGAAGAGCTGCAAGATTTGGCAACTTATCGCTAAAAACGACGTTTAACCTCAACTATAGGATAATCGGTAAAGAAAAGCGTGCAACGATTAACATTTTTTTCGGAAACTTTTCTTTTTATGCTTATACAAATTCACAGCAAATTTTATGACCGATTTAAAGTTTTAAATAAAAAACTGTGCATGTGCTATATGCCAATTACATCAATTTTTTTATAAGTGATTTCAAAGTAAATTTGGTACTAAATTTTACATTTCAGTTAGATCTGAGTTTTTTAAATTCATTTAATTTATAGTAGCCAGACTTTTTTANTTTTTCTTTTTAAATTACTGATTTTACTTGACTTTATTTTTGTGAGTGTCTAAATTTCAGGAGGGGCGAAACGCATCGTTTGCCCCGTCATCTAAATTTTAGAGGGGCCCTCTGCCTCTCCCTGGTTGGCACGGCCCTGGTTGCAGCCCACCATTTGACTGGTGTTTTTAATTGCTGCCCCCGGCCTCATGTAAGTTGGAAACCCCTGCTCTAAAGCATAAAATTAACTCAGAACTAAGCTTAAATAATCCTACCTATCTGTTGCCCTTTATCCAAATGTCGAAGAAAAAACATTAAAACAGTACCATGTGTAGAAAACTATGTAGAAAAGACTATCTGAAAATAGCTAAATGACAGAGTTGAATTCTGTTATTGATTCGATAATATGAAACAAATATCCGTCCTAAAATAAAACGAAGTTTTTTTTTTTTTTTTTAAATCAAAGCATCGCGTAAATATCTGATATACATGCAAATAATAAGACGCAAAATAGTTTTTAATTAGTAAAAAAATAACGAGAAAAGTTACGATAAATTTAAAGCAAGCAAGATCAGTTTTGATTTTCTTCTCTATTAAAAAAAATTCTTTTTTTAAATGAAATAGTTCTCATGTTTAATTTCCATTGTTATAGCCAGTTGTATTATTTAATTTGTGAAGTGCCGTTATTCTATGGGATGCTAAAAGTTTTTAGAGAAAGTATGAAATAGGAAAACTTTGTATTTTAAATAGACATTCTGAAGAATGCCTAGAGGTTTTTCATTGGACATTCTATTGATCGCTTAAGCAATGAGGAAAATATTATTTCATAATTTTTTCCGATCGATTTTAGGCATTCAATCGGCATAAGACTCAAAAATATTAGGTATATATTAAGTATTTGCAATAAAATATTTCAGACATAATACAAAATATTGTTTTATATTTTGTTTGTTTATTTCAGAAATGGATGTATCATTCCTACATAGAAGCATTTTATGAATTTAGAGAAAATAAAAACATGGATTCATTGGCATAACTGTTGACTGGACGAATTTTTATCGATTAAGGTACATTTACTGTAATATTCTCTCTAAGTCATTGAGGATAATATTCTTTATACCATTATTAAAAATCTGGTCATCAGCTGAATATTTTTCTAAAAAAATTAATAACGGATTTTTCATTTTATCTGAAAAATGACCGAAAAATTTCCAAAAAGCCCCAAGATAAAATGTGAAAGAATTTGTTATCTAAATGCAACGAAATACTATCGAAAGGGGCATGACTGTTAAAACATGAAAACATGCTTGATTGCCGGTGGAAAAGGGGAAGTTAAAAGGCGATTATTAAAAACACCTACAAACATGTTTAATAAGCGATACCACTTGTATATGAATGAAGAGAAGAAACAAGTTAAACGGAAACACGAATTTATTTATAAATAAATAAAATAATCTTCATAAACCTCAAATTTGTTGTACACCAAATTTACCACAATTTTTAATTTATCTGTATTTAGCAATTTTTCTAATTTCTCCGTCTCGTAAAATATAAACAATATGACAGCTAACTGCTTTGTTTGTTGTAGAGCTGCCATCTATTTTCTTTTGAACAAACTAAGACGTTTTCATTATTTATATTTGTCTTGAAGTTACGCTAAGTGTGTGTGTTACATTCATTACTTTATTTAATTATTAAGTGTTTAAGGAAAATTTTTAGAGAATAATTTTAAACCTGTCTTTTCAAATACTATAAAACTTAATTTATTCTAGAAAATTCCAAAGAATTTGAACTAGAATATTGAGAAAAAAAACTCACATTTCTCAGACTCAATTATTTTAAATGAATTTAGACTCAAATTTCATTTAAAATTTGTAACAGAAAACAAGTTAATAGCAATAATACTAAAAATAAAGGAAAATAAAAACAAATTTAAATACAGGCATAATTTGTACAGGGAAAACGTAAAATTATCTTATATAATAGTATTGAGCGAGGGAGTTTTATTTTTTCAAAATATAGCAGAAAGGTGAAAACGTTTGTTCGATCGCATTCATCAAGATTATCCGCTGTCTCCTTTTAATTTATTTAGTTTTATTTATTTTTATTTTGCAATTATTTTTTATTAAATTTTTTATGTGTTTTCACTTGCTGAAAACGCGTTCTTCATAGGAGGCGCGTAAAAAAAAAACAATTATTCAGTACTGAACAACACTCCGAAATCATGCACAAAACTGGAAGGCATGTACCGACACAATTGACGAGCTTAGTGGAAGAACCAGGTAAGTGACATTTTAGGGTTATTAATGTGAAAATAATACTAAATGATTGCATCGATATGGGTATTTAACAGAATTGTTTTTGCTTTCCCTTTTATAGTAACATAACTGTTCCACAATAGTTTTTATTTTGCTTACATGATTTTTATTTTGAAATTAATCAGAGGTGAATAATGAGACCAAGATTTATTAGTCCCGCCTTCTGATAAATTGGTAATAAAATAGTTCGGAGTCAACTTTTTTTCTTCTTACCTTGATTATTGTCTCTTGGAAAATGTCACTTACGTATGTCTCTTCCACTGATCTCTTCAATTAATAAGGCTAAGGTGATTTTTTATTTATTATCATTTGTTGCTCTTCTCTGTTGCTTTACGTTATCATATTAAGCAAAACACGTTTTTTGTTGTTCATCAAATCAGAACAGATATTAGCTGTATCTCTTGGCTTGATGATATTAGATACATACAGCCAACTCATGATGGTCAAAATTTACCTTTATCAAGTCATTTTCTCTGGTACAAATCCCTTTCAAGAGTCCATAAGACTCTTATTTCCACAGTATCGGTATTAAAACTATTTAGTATTGGTACAATTTTAATAATCAACAAATATATAAATATAATACTTCATACCTATACACTTATCTTACCTATATACGTATAGACTTTATACCTATATACTATATAGCCATTTGAGTTTTTTGCAAGATACGTTTATCAGGGGAAGCAAACTAAAACCGAAATTTTAAGAACAAATAAAATTCTTTAAAAAACTTGATAAGGACTTTGGAACATGACGTTTCTCTACCTGACCTTTAATTTACTGTTTAAATTATTTTCTGTGGTAGTGTAAAAAAAGTTTTTTTAATTCTAATTCATTAAATTATTAATACACTATTTGAAATAATCACAACTTAACATAAAAAATATATTGAATGTAATACGCTCTTTAATATACTACGAGAAAGCTGTTGTCGACAGTTCTTTTCACAGGGCTGTCTCGGTTTTTATTCATTTATATCAGTGGTAGTAAATTTGCGTAGTAGGAATTTAGATTTTCAAATAGCATTTTATCGTTTGGAGAGATTTCCTGAAAACTTACATCCGTCCAGACAGTTCAACCCGGACACCATCTCCGTATTGGTGATGTTTTATGTGTTTAAAATGAGGTAAGCAAAATTGTGGTTTAATTATTAAAGTTTGGGGGTAACATTTGTTGTTGTTGTCGTGGACCATTAAGACAGGTGAGATAATTTGTTCTTGTTTTCCAGTGGCGTCATCTATGGCCAAGAATCCGACTTCTGTCACACCCATACATCACACCAGTTTTATAGGGCGGACCCATTCACACATTCATTTATTCTTCCACAGATCGTAATTTTTACCTGAATCAGATAACGATCCATCATTAATTCAGTACCCCAGCCGTATAATTCGTTATGGGAACATGGAGGACTTCGTGTCCCGACTAATTAAACGTGTACCAGTCACTGCACGTAGCCAGCTGGATTCGAACTCCCATTCTCACGAACCCGAGTCCCGCGCCCTGCTAACCAGGCTATCCCTGCCCGGTGTAACATTTAAAAAGCACATTTAATGCTGTGACCATTTTCTCAAACAATCATCTTGAACTATGTCCAGAATAAAAAGCTCTCCTACGATTGTTTGTAGAATGCGGATGTGATGGTTAAAAAGACGAAAGCATTTTTAAGTAAAATAAAAATTGCCGCTATACACTTTATGTCATAATTTCTAGAATAAATATTTTTGTTGAAATCCGGAATCACTAGATTAAAATACACCACCAAACAAGATTCCAAACTATTTAGACTTCCCTTTTTCCCCCTTCGAATGAATTAAAATTAAAATAACGAAAACGATTTAGAAAAATATCCCAATTCAACAAAACAAATAACGAGACATTTAACTTGGCTGTTTATCCGAAATGTTCGACTCCGACTAAGTCGATAAAAATTTGAACGGAAACTATTATTAGTAAGTAGTTGTTAATCATTTCTATTGTTTTTATGCATATTTTTAATTAAAATGACACTTCCTGTTACAACAAAATAGTTGAAGAAATAAATGTTAAGAAATTCATATTTCTACGAAATGTTTAAATTCTGAAGAATTATATTTAAATAAAAAGTATAGCTGCATATTTCATGCACACAATATCACAGATAAATTAAAAGTATTTTAAGAAGGTTCTCTACATAAACTTTTTAATCATTCTTTTAAAAATATCGATTTTTCAATTTTTTTCTTTTTCGATGAAGCCCGGTCGTTGGGTGGAGGCTCTATGGTCGGATCAGCCTTTCAATGGATCGATAAAATGTGTACCCAGTTGGCATGGCGGCTGACCAGACACCCAGAACATTTGTAACCCAAAGCACAAGGTGAAGGATAGTGGGATGAGCCCAGTAGGTCATTCATGAGCTGTTGAGCCACTGAGTTTGGATTTTATCTCTTAATAGTTTAATGAAACATTTAACTATTTGTTCTTTTGAATAATCTTTTGTCCTTTATAAATATTAGTCTAAAGAATCTTTATAACATCAAAAAGCGTCTTAGTTATGTAACTTTTAATGAACCGAAGTAGTTTTATTAACTTCTCATAAAACATGCACTTAGATCGAGATAATTAAATTATTTTCTTTCCTGTCAAAATAAAAATCATCTTCTGGAAATTGGCATGGGCAGCCTGTCTAAAATTATTTTATAATAACAATTTTTATAATAACACTTGTTATTTTATAATAACACTATTGCAAAAGTAATAGCCCCAAACTGTGAGTCACTTCAATATTTTTCGCGTTTTATTTATTTAATTTTTTGGGCTGAAATAATTTCCATTAGTTCTTACCATTATCCGTTCATCCTTTTAATGAATTTCAAACAAAGTAAATATGAAATGGAAATTATTATAACAGCTAAAAGAAATAAAGTTATTAATAAAAACTATTCTATATCCCTATTATTACTGTTGGAGTAGAAATAGATGTCACAATGTGTTTATTTTAATCTAAAAATTTGGTTTATCTAATCTACTGGAGGAGCATGTTGCATTTGGAAAGATAAAATTTTCTACATTTAATGGAGCACCCACTGAAGAATTTCAGTAGATAGCAGATTCGTTATAATTAATTATTTATTTTTTAATAATTTTATTATAATTAATTTTCTAACGTATCTATTCCTTTTGTCACGTAACAAAGTATTTTTAAAATGTTTCTGAAATAAATGTCCCCATCATACTGCGATCTGACTAATTCTAGGCAATTGTGATGTCTTAAACTAAAAATAGAAAGTGATAATGACTGATTGACTTCAACCACAAAATTTGAGGCATTTTGTAAAAACGGATATTTTATTATTATAAATAATTATTTATAAAACTACAATCTAGTGTGTTCCATCGCTATTTATAATTTTTCAAAATTGTAATATCATTTTGTGAAAGTTATAATAAGATGAGAGCTCGAATAATTGGTTTTATGCCATACAATAAGATTTAAACTCTAATATTCGAAAATTTCCTAAATTGCTGATTATTCAGAATTAAAATGATCCATCTAACGAACGTGACTGAAATACATTCCCTTTTTACTTAGAACCACCTACACTGCTGAAAAAGTGGTTTTAGATTTTTTTCACCCCTCCATCGCATTGATTGACCTCAATGATCAGAATTCGAAAATGTTTTTACTTTTTCTCTTGCTTACTATTAGTTTGTTATCCTTAACACACATACTATTTTCTAGCTAGAGTATCGCAGTGAAACAGTAAAAGAAATTGAAGTAGTAAAATAGCAACAAACATTTAATCTATTTATTGCATACTTTATAACGACACAAAATAAGAAAACGACATCATACAAAGAAATTTATTTCATTATTCAATTTATCTGAGATCCATTATTCAAGTGAAGACGCAATCACTGTGGGGGTAATTTTATCGGATTATACCAGTAAGATGACGACGCTCTCAGTGTACAATGTGAGCATTGGTTTCTTTTTATATTTCAAACACTTACTATCTGGCAAGCATGAGATGAACCTCAATCACTAAACATGTAGGTGGCAGTCGTGATTGTAAGGGATTTGTCTTTTCATTTTTAGGTTAAGATAGTGATTGGATTTGGTGGTTGTGTTGAACTTAAAACTAGTTATTGAACAACATTGTGAAATGAGCGAGTTTTTTTAACTCTTTTCAGAGCTCATCCCTACTGACAGTTTGCTAAATGGCAAATTTGTTCTTTTTTTATTTTATTTAAAATAATTTTTTTTAAACGAGTTATTCAAAAAATTTATTACGGAACAAATTTGTATAATCAAAAAATTTCTTTTTGAATTGGGGCTGCTCTATTATACGTAAGACAATCATCAGATGATCGATGAAGTTTTTTAGTTGATCAATCCATATTTAGCAACAATCTGAAATCAGATCCATTTTTTTTTCATCTACCATTTTGTAAAGATAGAAAAAAAAATCTATTTAATCTTAAGAACAACGAAAATGATTAAAAATGTATGATTATGTTTTTTAAATGCAATTAAGATCCTAATGGTCATCATGTCTATTCGAAAGATATATTTTTGGAGATGCCGAAAACTTTTAATAATTTTTATTTAAAATTATTCTCAATAACTTTCGAATTCAATAACGACGCACAAAACCTTATTAATGTAATTATTTTTTAACACATATATATTTTCGAAACTGTTGCAATATGTGATACTCGAAATTAAAGAAAAAAAAATTCTTTCTCCCTTATTTCAGTTACAAATGTAACCCCTTTAGTTACGCTACCATCTGTTGTTCCACCCATTTTGTAGTTTTACATTCCCAGTGTTTCCTAATACTACACAAATGCGTCCTTATAATTTTTTTCTCAGTTTTTTGCCATCAGTGGTTCACAAGCAGCGTCTTGGGTAAGAGGATAACAAATGATTAACACTTCACCACCAAGATCTCCTCATCCTACGACATGTACAACGTTTCTTCAAAACTTGCGTACCACCGATGTCGAAAACATTACATTTCCTAAATGTTTACTACTACTACTACATTTGTGCAGTATTATCGACAGTGTTAAAAACTACAATATATTAGTGATGAACTGGATGACAGATTAGATATAGTTCGTTCACCAGGAGTTGGCTCTTGGCTCCACCCCCTCTGACGCAGAGTTCATTTCAGCGCGGTAGTAAGAGAGGAACATCTCCGCTCTTGAAAATGAGATAACCCTTAATGCGCGCCAAATGCAAGCAGTGAATTCTTTTTCGGTTACTTATTTCGCTTTATCATCTGCTATTATACCTTTCGTTACTCTAACTAATTAAATACATTTTCAATATAAAAGCTGCTGTTTTCTTAGCAAAATGTCTCAAAAAAGATAAACTATTCACTCAAAAGAGAGAAATATCATCAAATTTATGAAATATTTAATGTTAAAAAAATGCCCACACAGAAGGCGAAATAATTATATTTGTCTTACGATCGCCAAATATCAACCTTGTTCAGGATCGTTCGCATCCTTCTTACAAAAATAGTGAAATAGTATTGTCGGATACCTTGTGATGAAGGTGGAGCCAAGTGCCAACTCTTGGCAAACGAACTATATTTGTAGCGTAATATATCAAATATTTATAACTGAATAAAAAAGAAGGGAACTTCCCTAGCAGTAAACTAACTTGGGTCCTCGTTGTGCCAATATTCAGGAATCTTGGCTTAATAAGGTTCAAAAGGCCATTATTTTTCAAATATTGTCCGATATAACATTGTCCGATTCAGCCGATATTTTACTGCTCCTTTACAACCAATAACGGCCCTACATAGAATTTTCATTATTTAGCCAATGTAGGTTCTATATTGGCCATTCTATGACCCATATTAAAAAATCTAGACATCCAAATATGGGTCCCACGGTGCATGTTCTTATAGGAACCATATTGAGCCCATTTTGAACCCAACTGGGGACAAGGTAAAATTGTTGCTAGGGTTGGTATATTTTATTTTGTGTTTCGCTATAGTTTCGAAAGTATAACTATTTATCCTTCTTTTGTGCAATCCCAGTATTTTATCGGTATAATCATTTCCCGAAATGTGATTTTTTCATTTATTTTCAGGGGAAGAAGAAAATGAAGCCATCGTCTGGTGGGGATGATCATGGAATCCCATCGCCTTACTCTATTGATCGTCGCATGTTTTACTCTGTGCTCTGCAGTCACGCAGAAATGCTCCATCAAAGAAACTCGAGCAGACTATTTCTGTGTCTGCGATGCTCTAGACGGCACAAACGGATGGACCTACACTTGCATAGACAACATGAACTTGGAAGCTGCCTTCACTGTCAAGTACATCGTGGGCCGCTCTGTGATATTCCAGTGCGGAAGCGAAGAACCTCACTACTCTCTCCTCCTCCATCAACTGGATTTGGAAGACATAAAGACGTTCGCTTTCAAATCTTGCCCCCTTCCAGCAGTGCCTTACGACGAAATTCTTCCATTCTATGACCACTCCCCTGTGGAACAAATTAAAGTGGAGAGAATTAAAGGAAACGCTTCGTTCACGAATGAAGTGTTTGGTAATTTCACAGAAACATTAAAAACCCTCATACTCACCGACAACGGTATCGAAAACATTTCCGAATCTCTCTTCAGCAATTTCACGCATTTGAAATATTTGTCGTTGTCAGACAATAGAATAAAGTCCCTTCAGAGCCGAGTGTTTGTGGGTTTGGAAAACTTGACAACTCTCGAAATAACGAATAACCTGCTCGAGAAACTTCCCTTTGATGTCTTCCAGGACCAAACATTGCTGGAGAAATTGTATCTTTACAAAAACAAACTGAGGGAACTGCCAGATGATCTCTTCAAAAACTTAATCAACCTCAAGATATTGGACTTAGCTGATAATCAGCTAATTTTACTCCCTAACCGTATTTTTGAGACCCTTTCGAATGTGGTATCCATTCGCTTGAGGGCCAACTGGTTGGGTACCGTACCTGAAGATTTATTCAGAAATTGCACGAGGATGCAAGTAATTGATCTCAGCATCAATAGATTCATGGAACCCCTGTCCGAAAACCTATTCCACGGATTGACTCATCTTGAAAATATTAGCATTCATGACTGCAATTTGACGCTCATCCAGGAGGGTTTCTTTTCGCGCAATCCGAATCTGACTCACTTGAATCTCGAAGAGAATAGTATATCTAGTCTTCCCGGAAAAATATTCGGAAATAATTCCAAATTGAAGGAACTAAATGTGAATTTTAATTTACTCAATTCTCTTCCAGTCGATCTCTTTCCAAATCATCTGAAACTCGAAAAGGTGTCTTTATTCAGAAATAACATATCCTCTATTCCAGACAGATTATTCAAGCGAGCCAGGAATGTTCGAACGTTAGTTCTCGGTCGAAATCGAATACAGAACGCCAGCTACGCTGTATTTCAAGATCTACCCAACTTAGAAGAATTGGATTTAAGTGTGAACAATTTAACCTATTTCAAACTAGATTTAAACGAGAATCTCAAAAAGCTCGATTTGTCTTACAACAATCTCTCTAAAATGCCTGCTATCAACTGGATACAACACTTGCAGTTGCAGAAGGTTAACTTAGAACACAACAAGTTATCTTTTCTTGAAGTCCCCTGGCTTCACTCGACAAATCATCCGATAATCAACCTTGCTAATAACAAAATAAGAACAGTAAGCGTAAATAATGTTTTGATCAATGATCTTGGCATCAAAAGTGAAGAGGCTTCAGAAAATTATAACAATTTTGTTGAAACTAGGATAGTTCTGAATTCCAATCCGTTTCTGTGTGATTGTCATCTGTTTAAATTTTACAAGTACATAAAAGAAAGCAACGGATCACCCAGATCCGTTCGAATCGATAACATTCAAAATTTATCATGCCACGAGCCCTTCTTCAATCGTAAAATAGTTTCGCTTGAGCCGCATGAGTTCACATGTGACCTACAGAACGAGTGTTCTAGTGCTTGCCATTGTTATTACAGAGCATCAGACAATGCGAACATTGTTAACTGCTCAAACCATGGGCTGAAATATCTACCAGATCATGTGCCATCTAACACAAGTGTTTTATATTTCAGTGACAACCTATTGACAAACATGGATGACTTTAATCAGAAAAGATGGGAAAATCTTACCGATATCTATTTGAATCATAACCTAGTATCAAATGTCGATAACTGGACGATACCAGTTCAGCTTAAGGGCATTTCTTTGCAAGGGAATAAACTGAGACACCTAAGCGAGCAGTTCATGGGCTTTGTTTCGAAAGCACCTCATTTTCACCTAGCTCTGAGTAGCAATCCGTGGATTTGCAACTGTTCTGCCATGAAATTCAAAAAGTGGCTCACGGAACACTACAAAAAGATCGGTGATGTACAACGCATCACGTGTGGCAATCGACTGAAACTGAACAACAGTCTCGTCCACACGCCTATTCTTACAACGCCGGACGATATTCTCTGCCCGCTAGACAATTGGCCGGACAAAGTTCATCTGATTACTGTGTCTGTTATTTGTGGTGTACTGGCTCTGCTCTTGTTTATAGTCATCGTACTCTATTATCGCAACAAGCAAACAGTCATCGCATACGTTTATATTCATATGCATCATGTATTCACCTGTTTTTTCAACGAAGAGGATATGGACGAGGATAAAATATTCGATGCTTTCGTTTCCTACAGTTGTTCCGATCGTGATGTCGCTATGGAACTCATCGAAGAACTCGAAAAGAAGGATCCGCGGTTCAATCTGTGCATACACGAGAGGAACTGGATTGCCGGAAACCAAATAAGTTGGAACATTTTCAACTCGGTGCACAACAGCAAAAGGACCATCCTGGTCATCTCCAAAGCTTTTCTGGAGAGCATGTGGTTTCAAGTGGAGTTCCACACAGCCTACTACCAAATGCTGGAAGACAAAATTGACAGGCTGATCATCATCGTCAAAGGTGACCTACCCCCCAAGGAGAACATGGACAAAGATCTCCAGTATTTGCTCTCCACCAAAACGTATCTGATATGGGAAGAGAAATGGTTCTGGGAAAAACTGAAGTACGCTATGCCGCACAAAAAGCAGCTCCTGCCCAATGATGTGCTGGCTCTTAAAGACAGACCTGACAGCGAAAAAGTCAAACCGATCGATAACCAAATAGCCATTTTATCATCGAGTGATTGTAAAACCAAAGTTCATGATCCCAATCGATCCACTCTTCATCTGGTTAAGAGTGTTAACGGAAATTAACACATTTTTTTTGTTCTCTCTGAAACGCCATGTAAATTTATGTATATTGATCTCTTGTAAAGAGTAAACTACATTTTAGTATAATTGAAGTGTCAAACTATATCGCACCATTTTTAGCTATATTACATTAAAAACAAAACCATCTCTGGTGCAAACCGAGGAAATCAACTGTGACGTTAAAATAAATTGTTTGGCGTTTAGCTAATTTTCACGCGAATCATATTAAAAATTTTGTCAAAAAATTTCAGACGTATCTGCTAAAGATGAGAGTCCTCGCTCGACACAGGTTCAATCATTTAAAGTCGAATTATACTCCCACTTCTCACACAATACTTCGAAGTTGTCAGACTTCAGCTTATAAATTTTTTAATCAAACTAGTTACAAGAAGAAAAAAAAACACTTCAAAAATTAAATTTACTTTTTACTGTTTTTTTTAAGATGCACAATTTGAAATTGTGGCAATAATTATTTTTTTAAAAAGAAATCCAGCCAAATATATAAATTAATACTCCGAAACGAAGTCTCAACTTTCTTCGAGTATTTGCCTCATCTGATAGTTGAGCCAATTCTTCAGAAAAATTGCATGTTTTTTTATAAAAGAAACTAAAAAATTTTTCCCCTTTTTCTTAAAAAAAATAAATAAAGACATAATATTTAGATTTATTATTTTTTTTTAAATTATCCTTTTTTTTAAATTTAAGTTAATTTTAAGTTTTATTCTAAGAAATAATAAAAGTAAAGGAAAATTATACATTTAGGATATCTTAGTGCAATAACACTGAAACGATGGTTAGTGTTCGCTAATTGCATTATTTATGCTGAACATTATTTATACATGACTGTTCTACTCTATTTTATTATTATTTTTTTGAGAAAATAACCTATGTTCTATTCAATTTTATTTAGGATTTGAAGGAACTAAAAAAAGAAATATTAATTCTTAAGGGAAAAAAACTGCTGTTGAAACAAAAGGCTTCCATTAATATTCGTAACACATCCGTAACTATTCATACATATAATAGAGGTTTATTATTTAAATAATTGATACATGAAATATTATATTTAGTTGACTTCATTTCGAAAGTAAGCCAACTTACCGCATGCTCGTGTAATCACTCGTTTTAAAATGACTTTTTAAGATTATATTCACTAGTTTTGCTCATTATTTTTTTTAATATACTTCATTTTTTAAAGTTTTAAACAAAAATAAGTTTTAGTCATTTACTAAATGTTTCGTTTAAATGGTTTTTGATCTGTGATTCATTAACTGCCGAGGTTTCTAACTATTGTTAATTTTTAGTTAAATCATTGTCTATTCTTTCGGATGATCTTTTGTGAAAAAATGACTAGCTGAAATATCACTCTTCTTACGAGATGAAAAGAAGGTAATTCATTCATAAATCAGTCATGAAAAACACTTAAACTTAAAAACATATACCAATAACGATTAATAAAGTTTATATAATTGCAATTTCTTTTATCTACATTATTTGTTGCCCTTCCCGGTGGCTTTGCGCTATTAGATTGAACAAAACACGTTTTTAGTAGTTCATTTCATCAAAATAAGAATGAACTGTTATCATTTGGCATGACGGCAATTCACAAGCCATCCATCAAGCGATTTTCTCCATTACTCGCGAGAGGCCGTAAAAAAAAAAATCTCTCTCCATAGTATCTATTATAAAACTGCACAGCATTGTTGTACATTTAATAAGCACCAAACATACTAACATGGGTATCTTTACATATATACTATTCAATAAAACTGCACCCATTACCATAATATCAGTAATGCAGATTATCAAAATTAATTCAGCATCCATTATAGTAGGACGATTTTTGTACGTTTCTCTTAAAAAGTACATTTTCATCATTCATTTTTCTTACTTTTCAGTACAGAACTTAATATTTTTTATTTCAAATACTGTTGATTTCAAATTATTTAGTTTTATAGAAACTCGTTAGACAACAGAGAAATATGTAAAGAGTTTCTACTTTAATGCTAGAGCATATAAAAAGTCGACGTATTTTTTTTTCAGAGATGGCCACAGTTTTAGCGCCATGCTACGTCAAAAAGCATAATTATGAGTTATATGGATGAATTTATCGTTTTCTTTTATTAATTTGAATTGAATTTATAAAGTTCTTTATGATAGGTCGTTCATTTGTTTTATTTTAGTTCCATGAAATGCTTTATGTTAATTCGTTAAGGATGTCGTTTGTTAATAAATACAAAAATACATTTTGCTTATTTAGCAATTTATTTTATTAGCTTATTTAGTAATTTATTTAATTACTATTTATTTTAACTATCTTTATTTCTTACCATTTTTCACGCTCTTAAATTTATTTCAATGTTGAATAAAATTCATATGTGTATATAAAAATAACATACACCATTGCTCCTTTTAAACTAAATAATAATAGAAAATAACTATCATTATTATGATTACAATAAAAACCATAATGTATGAATACTTAAAATCACAAAAGTTGCTATCATTAATTCCTGCAATGTTGATAATAGTTTTGCAAATGGCAACTTGTAAGCAATTTCATTTTGTCAATTATGTCATACTCTTTTTTAAAGTCTTTTACTGAATAGTTATTTCATAATGGTTTTTCCGCGTTTGATTTTTATGATGAAGATTAATTTTTATGTAAAAAAATTAATTTTTTATGACAGAAACTCTTTTAAATCCTTAAATAAAAATAACTTTTTTTGCTGCCCGTTATTTGTAGTGAATCTCAATACTCTCGCACAATCATTATGTCATGTTTTGTGTTTATGTACTACTATTAATTATGCAGTTTGGATTATATTAGATTTTAATTTATAGTTATCTTCTATTTGTATTGTTATGCCTCACATTTGTATATAAGTTCTTTTTTTCGTAATTCATTGAGTATGTAAACTGTTTAGAAAATATGTGTTCATTCTTATATATGCTATGTTGAGATTTCTTACATTTGTTACATATCTACTTATTTTATGTAAAAGAAGAATTTGTTTTGTGTTCAATAAAAAAAAAATTTAAAAATGACTATTGAAATAATTTTATTAATACTAATTACAATAATTATGGTGTCAGAAATTTAGGTAATTAGGTACTTTATTTACGTCACCCTGGAGCTGCGCAATGAAAGTCAAAAATTTAGAAATTAGTTCATCAAGTTCGGGTAAAATCTTTACAACTAAAATAGTTAAAAGCATACAAAATATTTGAAGGTTAAATTATTATTTATAGAGAGTTTAATAACACAAGTGCCTTGATTGCGCCTAACACAATTGTTATTACATATTTAATGCAATGAAGTCAAAATCTGTGAATAGGGCTTCGTATAATCAACTAATAGAAAGCTCCATTTTTTTTTTTTTTTAATCTTTACAAACAGAGCTTAAACTTTAATTTTCGAACAAAACAAACTAGATTTCCTGCAACATTTTTCTTACTATAATTTTATAACTACATTTTCATTTACTCGTTTTCATGTTTGAAACGATGGAATCTTGCAATCCAAGCTGTGGCGTACTAGACTTGGGTGCGCCCCCCCCACCCTGCAAGATTTAAAAAAGCGTCCTATCTAAAACTTAACACAAATTTTTTAAACTTATAATATGAAACGAACACAATGAAGAGACATTCGGGTATTTATAAGCATTCATTATATTTTACTTTATATAATTTTAATTCAAATTATTATTTATTTAAATTTATAAGAAAATGATTGGTCACTAGATGGCAGTAGTAATTATGTGCATACACAGATGATTTCGTAACATAGAGCATGGAGCTACTTCTAGCTCCATGATTCGAACAGCAGCCATCGGCTTCGCAGTCAGGCATTCTATCCGCTCGGCACTTGGCTGACTGTGCTTTTAAGTATTACTGAATTAAGTTTGACTGAATGTAAACAATAACAAGCTTTATGAAACCAGAAGAAATTAGAAACCGGTGTATCCCTCCTCTTATGTTATGTTTACGAGGCGATGTGTGAACAACTATTCTAAGAAGTTTTATTATCGTGTTTAAATTTAAGCGTCATTCATGAGAGTTTTCTGTCATTTATAAATTCTAACAGGTAGTGAGCCTAAAACAAATGTAACAAAATTAATATCACAGCATAAATAAAGTGCAAAGTTAGTCAAGGATATTTTAAAATCTTAAGGTTTATCATGAAGTCTGTTACCCCGTAAGACATGACATTAAAATGAGTAATTTGGTTTTTAAGCAAACATACATTTCTTACTTTTCATTCTAATATTATTTGCAAATAATGTAATAAATAGTAAAATATTAAAATAATAATAAGAAAAAAACGAACTGCAGCTAAAGTAAAATTGTATAATTTGAAAAATATATTCTTCCATATCAAAGAAAATACACTCTGACCTATTTCACCGATCTAAAGTCTATTTCTTCCCGAATAAATGAAAATAAAAAAAATTAATAATAAATGAAAATAATTTTTTTTTTATCTGAAACGCAAACAAACAACACAAAGTTCAATGAAATCAACGCACGCAAATTGAAATGGGTGTCTTTTGAGAAGCACCGTTCAGGATAGGGTTTTACCAGACGTTTTGCAAAAGCATACCGTCATGTGGGGCTACTTTATGCAGGATTTCACAGTTTTTGAACTTTGACATGTAAAAAAACTATGTTAATTCAAACTTTAGTAAAATTTATCGATATTATATTCATAACTGAACTCAGACGAATGAATTTGATCAATATTGGCGATATTTGTATGTAATATTTACAAATAATAAGTCAAAACATACCTTGCACAAAGAAGCCCCCAAGTATAGGAATTCTGTTTAATAATCATGTTTTTAGTAAAGTATTGATATAAAATTGTTAAAAAAGTTAATTGTTGACATTTTTAGTTACAAAAACATCAAGATATGTAAAGATATTAGTTTGGATATCAATTTTCAGCGTTAAGAAACCATTTTTTATAAAGAATTTTTCCTTAAAAAATTTTTTTATTTCAAAACATTTGAGTTTAAACAAAAGGAAACCATATACATTTTTGAACATCGAAATTGATGAAATTTTAAAAATAATGATTATTACATATTCATTAACATTTTTAATATTGATAAATTTGAACATAACATGCTTGAATGAACATGACAGAACTTGCTCTTCAGTTTCTGTCAAAATTACCTGATGTCCTATAAAATATTTTTTCGTGTGTTAAATCGTTTGATTAATTCATTAGAAAAATCTTTGTAGAAGAAAAATAATAGTTTACCAGCACGTTTCACGCACTTGTTGTGAATTTTATTTGAGATAGTATTTCTGTGGATTTTGTACTTCCGAGAAGCTTCTGCAATCGACATACCACCAGCAACTGCTTGCAAACATGGTTGCAGCTTTTCTAAAGGGTAATCACGGTAGTTTCTCGTTACAGGTATTTTTTTATAACGTCTGGCAATTTTTCTGTCGGAAAAAAAACGAATGAAGCTTTGCACAAAGTAGCCCCACAGTGCATTTTTTTCATTTTCCGTTTATTTGTTATTAATTTTCAAATTTTTTTAACGCTAACATGATATAATTGTTTATTAATATATAAATAAAAAAATTTGCACTTACGACAATTGTTTTATCAATGTCTTTGCATTTCACAGCTAAAGTTTCCACGCACACTTTTCGACGTCCGACATTCTCGAAAAGTTGTTGACATTGGATAAACAAAACACACTCTGAGATTGTTTTAAAATTCGAAAAAAAATTTGTAATGACATAGGAGACTTCTAACTTCAAATTCCACACATTTTTAACGTGAAAAAAACATAATACTGAATAGGAGCACTTGAAAAGTGCCAAATTCGAATTTGCACAAAGTAGCCCCCGCTGCATAAAGTAGCCCCACATGACGGTACGTTATTATTTTTTCTAACGTTAAAGGCATGCGCTATTTTTTAACGTTAATTTTCGCTCATGAGATGTGAGGTTAATTGTCGTTGGCGGGGTAACGCCAAAAGAAATCTTTTTATAAAATGTAATATTGTGTGAAAAATAGTTTTAAGTTAATTGATGATTCTGTCAAACATCGTGTGAAAGTATATTAGAGTTGGCGTTAAAGAAAATTAATTAATTTTCATTATTAATTAAATTAATATTTTTATGAACCACAAATTTCACTTTAACCAGCTTGTTATGCTTAGTAACAATAATCAATTAGGGTACATTTTATTTAATTTAATAACCGTCGTTGAATAGCCGATCCAATTTTGAGTTTACGACTACTGATGTTCAACTTGCCTTGTAATTTTGAACCAATCCAGAAGACAAGGAAACTTCTGGATCAGTATTCACACAGGTATGATTGTTATGGGAACATGGAGAACTTTGAGACTCGACAGATTTAACGTGCATCCATCAGTCACCATTTACGACACGGGAAGCGGCGGAGATCGAACCCAAGACCTCTTGGACATTGGTCCAGTGCCCTACCAATCAGGCTATCCCGGCTCTGATTAGGGTACATTAGGAGAAACACCAGTACAGAGAATACTGAGGACAACAGAACATTACATTGAAAAAAAAACATTGTAGTGCATACCCTTCAGGGTCCTTTACATTAGAAACCGGCAGAGTAAGGTATTCCGATCAACAGCACTCATATGATTAATGTATCCGATTGTTAAAAATAATAAGCATAGCTTTCTAATTATAGTCGTATGCCACTCACTAATATTTTTTTTAATCTTTTAAGAAGGAAATGAACAAAAACGTTAAAAAAATAATTATTCCGAATGAAAAAAATAAATATATATTTTAATATTAAATAAACAAAACGTTGTAAAATTTAATAAAAGCATTAAGAAATTTTAATTGCAATTCTGTTGTAGAAAAAAAAGCATTTTATTTCCAAATTCGAAAACAAAGAATTAATTCTGTCTATATTCGTTTGGAGATAATGACGTTGCAAGTATGGATGGTGTTTTCTACACTAGGGAACGCTGCAAGCTCTGTACCGCCTAAATTTCCGGGTTACTGCTTCCGTTGTATTTTAAAGCCATTTGGCATTGGCATCATTGTGTTTCGAGATTCTTGTAAACAATGCATTTGATTACTTATTACTTGTGTTTACAATGCTAACAATACTTGTGTTTACAATGCTGAAAGTGTTAACACTAACGTAACGTCTCTTCCCATATCAGATACGTTTTGGTGGAGAGCAAGTACTGGAGATCTTTGTTCATGGGGCACAGCTTACAACAAGAACAAACAGTAATAAACTTATGGAAAGAGGACATATCAAGACTGCCAAAAAAGCGAGTTACTCAAAATCTAGCAACCATGTCACCTTTTTAATATATCTCTAAATAACTAAAACAAATTTCCACTTCAAACTCACCAGAATTACATAATAACATTAATATCTTATGAAATACGGCAAATTTGAGCTCAGAAATTATCTAATATATTTCTTTTATTGAAAACAAAATTATCCATTTGAAAATATCGCCTCGCAGAATAACATGTAGTAAGCAGCTGCAAACTTTCTAACCGTAACTAGAGCAGGCATACAGCTCGGGATTGTTATTCGCGATCGCAACGCTCGAGTACGCCGTCTAGCGGGAGCCTGTAAATATCAGACATTAATTTATCACGTTTTCATTTAGTTCCATCGAAATCATTGACAGAATCAGACACCATCTTTTAGCAGCAAATAAGAAACAAAATTTCCCTAAGGAAAAGGCCGAAGAACTTGAAAAAAATCTCCAGAATATTAGTAAATCTTTCAGGAACAGAACACGCCAAACATTTGAAGAAAAATTCCTCAATAATTTTTAATTTCTATTATCAACAAACTTGCAACTGATGACTTCCGATTTCGGATACTGTTACAGATGTGTGTATTAAGGTAAAATGCATTTCTTCTGTCTTCAATTCATTACGAATTAAAGTGAAGTCAACATTGCTTTCGTCATTCCAGTGAATAAATATGAATTCAGAACATACAGAATTGTAATAGTTATAGCATATTCTTCTTCGTTATAGAATAGTATATATTTCTGTATCCATATAATTCGGAAAACAACAATAAAAAATTATCCAAGTTACTTGAAATAGTGCCATTTGTGCTGATTCTTAATTAATTTAAATCGTTTTCTTGGTAAGTTTTTTTTAATTTTGAAAGAATAAGTTCAACTAGAATTCAGCTATTCTGTTTTTAGCTACATATTCAAATTCATATCAATTATAAAATTTTGCTGTGTAGTATGTTATCTAAAAGTAATGAAGGTATAAACTATGTATCTATTATTTGAGAATAAAGTTTTCAAACAAGGAACTTATCATTTTGGAATTCTCCGGGAATCATAAATCAGGTAAGTGCAATGATTTTTACAATAAAAAATTTGCTTGTAAATATTTTTTTTTCATTTGATGATGGTTCTCTACAGAATGGTTTTTTACGTCTGATTAAGAACTATAAGAATAATAAAAAAAGAAACAATATGAAAGTTTTTATTTCAATGTTAAGAATTCTTAAAATCGTTTTTTTTATCCTAAGAATTCTTTATTTTCCGTTTTTTAGTTTATAATTTTTTGATAAAAATTGTTCTCAAAATACTTTTTTTGAAAAATTAAATGGTATAACATTATGTGTTTATGTATACTTCTTGTATATTCCAATGTTTGAAGTAATATGATTCAGAAAAGTATGGAATAAAAATTCGGTACTTACGTATTAACGCCACCGCCGCTACAGATTTGGCGGTTTTTAAGTGCCGCCAATCTACACTTAAAATTTTTGCGACAATTCATAAAATAAAACACTTTATTTAAAATCAAAATAGTCAATCGGATTTCGGTGGAAAATGAGCCGATATAGAGTTTAGCATAGATTCAAAACAATCATATCGCCATATGAACTCTGATAAATAAGATTCCAAATGAAATAACATTTCCAAAACGTACGTTTACCAAGATAAAGTTTTATGTTGTGGGAATTGGTACATTTTCGTTTTTTCGGTAAAATATTTCCCTCCTGAAAAAATAAAATTGCATCTTGTTTTGTTTTTGGCAAATCCCAAAGACGAATTTTCGTAGCACTAAAAATGGCGACAAAAAAGAATTGTTTTTTTTTTTTTGTTTCGTCAGCATTCTTTATTTTACGTTTCTTAGTTTCTAAATAATGATTTTTATTGAAACTTGAAATTTTTTGATAAAAATTGTTGTCAAAAAACTTTGTTTACAAAATTAAATTTCATAAAATTATGAGGCTTATGTATACTTTTTGTTCATTTTAATTTTTGAAGTAATATGATTCTTAAAACTATAGAATGTAAAGTTTAAATGGGCCTTTCATGTTATATCATTAAATTTAGTAATACTATTTCTCGGGCATTAGGTTTTAACTCTTATAAGAATATACATATTTTTTTCTGTTAATGTACAAATATTTTTCCGATGTGTTTTGGATATTCCTTCTCTAATAAAAAGAGATACCATTTTGTTTTCGTTTGTATAAGAAAGAATATCAAGCATTTTTCTTTTTTAAATTTAATTAGCCACAATAAAGAAGGAACGTTGCAATGCTCCGTGCTACATTAACGACGTCTCTAGAGTAACTGAATGACTGTTCATATAGAAATTGCAGGTATTAGTCTCATACAACAACGCCCCTATAGTTCGTTGCGATCGCGAATTGTTTACAGTTCTACTGAAAGCACCATCCATAGAACTAAGTGGAAATATTTATCGCTTCTAGTAAGGAATCATTCTTCACGAATTTGGTGCTGGTAAAACAAAAAAAAAACCTTCCCCAATAGCCAAATTGATGTTTGTAATTTGCACATTAGTCAGCATCTGCAAGAATAAAAATAAATAAGATTGGTAGGTACTTTATTTATGACGCACTACAGCTGCCTTTGGCTTCTGTCTGTTAAATATCCGAAAAAATGCCCCCACAATTTTGTGAGATATTCCACCACAGCTTTCTCCATCCTACTTATTCCATCACAACTTAGACATAGATTTGAAGGAGAAGGAAATTCTTCTCCATATTCCTGTACTACTCAATGAGTCCCATTGTACTGCTCAGTGACTGACCACGGAACTTTCGAATCCACAGATTTTATGAGCTCTTATATTGCCAGTGCTCGGTGAATCTTACCGGAGTCGAGGATCGATCCCCGCTCTACCGGACCTGAGTCCGATTCCCTAACCACAGGGGTAACATAAATAAATAAATCATATGAATGCGAGGACAATTCTCACTGCTTGCGATTTTTTCCGCATGCGGATTTGAGCCTGATTGGTAGAAAAATTTTAACCGTATCTCCTGAATAAGGTTACCATCATATTCCAGATCGCCATCGAGAAAATAAGGAAACCTGATTGGTGGGTTTTTCATAGTTTGTAAAAATTTTACCGCTGGGGCCGGAAATTTTTTTCCAGTGAAAACGGTCCTTAAACATTTTGTTCTTATATATTAAAATGGAAGTACAAAAATTTTTAACGTACGTCTAGTGCCTCGAAAAATATTTTATTCATGCAAATTTATTCCTATTTTTAATGCATGTTAACTTGGTTCTTTCCGCCTCTCTTGATTTTTCGGACAAAATTTGTTTTTTCAATTTGGCAGTTAACTCTGCAACCATGGCGAGTGTTCACGTGCTTTTAAGAAAAGCTGTAGCGCGTACTCTTCTCCTTCGTACCGCTTTTCCTCCGCCCAACCCGAGTTTGGTGAGAAATTTGCCATTTTGTTATTCGAGTTCTAGGGCTTTTTGTTCAGTAAAAATGTCGAAACCTCAAGTATTTTTCGACCTTGCTGCTGATAACCAGCCTTTAGGAAGAGTAGTCATGGAGGTAAAATACTTATTTTTAAATTCATGAATTAAATATAATCATGTTGCCGGCAAAGATCATCTGCCGACATAACTAAAGTTGGTGTTCTGGTATTTATTTGATTTTCGATTTAACATTTCATAAAATTGTTTATATAAACCTTTTTTCATGAAATCTCATTTTGTCGTAGTTATTAATGTGTATTTGAATTGTTACTTGAGCAAACAGCAGCAAGCTAATGTGAAGTTAAAATGGCTGACACATTTCACTTGTGTGTTAACAAAGTTTAATATTTGTAGAAATACTATTTTTAGTCATTAAACGAAATGAATTCCGTTTTTCTTCTACGGAAAGAGGAATTTTTAAGTTTGCTTTTGAAGAATGTATAAAAACATGCGGTTTAGGCTTAGCACAATCTTTCTTTATATTAAGAAACATTCTCTAGTTTATACGAAATTGACTTTTAACTAAAGTATATAAGTAAAAGCTCTCGTTAAAAAGCTCTTTTTCGTTTTCACAATTTATAATTTATGTTACATTTTATTAATTATCCATTTCGCCGGTGCAAACAAATTCATCTATCCTATTTATTTTCAAACAATGCTCTCCTTAATCTGTAAAATATACGATTAATTACCTTAAATCTGTAAGATATACGAATTACTCCGGTCATTTTCCAAGTATAGTGTTATTAAAAAAAGCTGCATATTATTTCAATATTTGCGGAATTTTTTGTCGCGTGTTAGTGTCAATAACAATCTATTAATAAATTTTTTTTAAATTCTTCGTAACAAAAGAAACAATGACCTCACATTTCCCAATTTATTCAACAATTAGTGATACTCGGTGGCAGAATTTTTCTGACTTTCTCTAACAAACCTCTAGCGCTATTATCTTTCTGCAAGGTACTATTAATAACAAATGTTACTAATTTAAAGTAACAAAAGCGTTGTTTTCACAAGAGACTATTCCGATTAAATAAAATAGTATGTGAGATTTTTAATTGAATATGTAATATATTTTTTTTATTATGTTGGAAATATTCTTGCGTTTTGTAAATCATCACATGAAAAAAAGTCACGAGATCCCATAGCAGTAAAAAACTCGTCGGTAGTGGAGACTGCATTAAAGTCTGAAGGATAAATCTGTGGACTTAAAAAAACGATTGGGAAAAAGATTAAAATTGAACTTTTATTATAAGTATGTGACAAATATTTTTGTTAAACAAATTTTATTTAAATATCTTTATTGCTAAAGGATCAAATAATGTCACTCCACAATGAAATAATAAGATTAGTTTACCTTTCAATGTTAGTGTAATCAAAATTTGAACTGTTGTTAATATAAGCTCTGATGTAGTTTACACTTTCCCCGGCACTCTAAAATGCTAGCCATGTTTTTTTTTAAAAATAAATTTAGATGTAGGATGGAAAATAATGAAGAAATGAGAAATAAAAAAATGGTTTGATAAAAGTTGGTTTATGTCAATAACATTACTCTGTGATTAGTGCAGATAAGATATACAAGGCTAGTTAATTTTGTTTGCTAGTAAATATATTTTTTGTAATTAAACACACAAATAATTGATTTAATACCTGTTATTTACGATTTAATCTACGGGAACGGTATGCTTTTGTGTCAGATTGCTATAACTTTCTGAAATCTGGTACTATACTCAGGGGTCTGTCCAGGCTGAATTTACTACCGTTTAGCGGTACCTTCCCAAATTCAATTTTAGTTAAAACGGTAGTTTCACAAATTCAACCTTAGGAAAAACCGTAGTTTCACAAAATACTTGTTCTTAAAATTTTATTTTTGTATCCCTTAAGAAACGATAAATCCATATTTTTGTGTTGATTTTTAAATATAATTTTTCACAAAATAGGTACCTCTCAGAAAATCCTAGACAGACCCCTGAGACTGTTAATTCGTTGTCTTGCAATTTTCTTGGCATCCATAGTTTTGTGACAATGTTGCTGCCACTTGGTAGTAGTGGTCCCTGTCGCAGAACGTTAGTTCTTGCAGAAAGATTTTTCCTTTGGGAAGTAAAGAACACCAGTTTTCTTTTCTTCAGTATTATATTCAAAAGATGCTTTTCTTGCACCTGGGAGTGAAAAAAAGATGCTTGTGATTTTTCGCTTCTCATTTAAGGATAAGAAATAGAGTAAAAGTTTTCTTTAAATTTTTTATGGAATTATTACTATTGATTTACAAGCTTTTATTAAACAAGTATACGTCTGTTTCGTGAAAAATCATTATATCAAAAGAATTATATTTTTATGAATATTTTTGAGCTTTCTCTCTGAAGCTGTTGTGTTTGTTACAGTAAGTAATTGTGTTAGTAAATATATAAAGCTACTTTTAAATTTTATTTTCTGTCCGTTACGAAAGTTATTTGATTGTAATGCGTTAAATTTAACTAAATTTTAACTGTGTACCATTTCAGAGCAGTTAGCCAGACTGTCAAGGCACTCTTGTATTCGTATTTTTTGGCTATTTTGTGTTCATTAAGATGTTTTTCATCTAAGCCAAATATTTTGAATCTTTTAAGTGACATGTGTTTAAAGTTGCTTCACTGAAAAATTCATGAAGATAGCTTGATATTTAATAGCTTTAAATAGTGAAAAATATGAAGTCTTGTCTGTTACTATGGAATTTACCTTGTATATTAAATTGTTTAAAATCATTGATTTAAATGATTTTTTAAGCAAAATTGTAATTTAAACCTCTATAGGTTATTAAGTTGTTTTATGTAAAGCATTATGATTTTACCCAAACCTGAGAAGATAATAGGTGAGTTTTTTTCATCATTACATTTGATTGACAAATCAGCTTTAGATATTAAGTCTTAGAGTAAAATACGTATTATACATACATTAAAAGATTTTTATTTCCATTACTTCTATGTTCTGTGCCTTGAAATTTTGACTACCTTTTTGTAAATATGTATTTACAATTATGTATTAAGGTATGACAAAAATACTTATTCATAAAACAAAACTACTGCTACTGCAAGATACAATATTGAAGATTAGTAGAGTCATAGTTCAATGGGTCGAAAAATTCATGTTTTAAGTATATACTACTTGTAAGCCCTATTTATTACACATAGTTCAAATGTTTTTTCTTTTTTTTTATATTATAGCACCATTTAACTGGTGAAATACTTATTGAAAATTTTTCTGTTGTAACCGTTGTTGAAATTCTAGATCTTTTTCTAAAAGCTCTTTCACTGTACTTAATATAAGGAAGGCACAATAACAGTTTTAAAAAATTTTGCAATGCTAAACAGTTTGAGAATTCTATTTCATTTGAATTAAAAGTATTTATTTCTTCATTTTAACATTTAATAGTTTTTATGCTCTAAAACAGGTAAAGTAAAACAGAAAACTTGAGTGATAAGGTCGCAACTACCTTATGCTCAAGTGAAAAATTATATGTACATATTCAAATGAGGCATCAATTTTCCGATTAAGCTTTTAAATGATTAATGTATTCTGCAGTGGTACATTGCACTACTTATCTGACAGTGCTATTGTGTCCTATGGTATATACAGTGTAAAAGAGTTAAAAGTGAAAAGGGTTGCGAAAAACCCACCTACCCAGTAATGCAGTGTTTCCCAAACTCTAAAATTTTCGTAAAGCTGTGTACCACTAATAAAAGGATGGATGTATTTTTTATTATAAAAAATTGCACTAAAGTTAAAAATCCTAACTGGCTGTTGACACCACTAATTATCTGTTAACTTTGCAAAAAATGGCCAATAGAAAAATACGTAATCATGGCTAGCTTTGTTTTTAAATAAAAATTTTTGAAAATTTTGTTTGTTGCAAGATATTTTGTATAAGAACGCGTACCCCGCTAAACTGTTCCCGTACCCTGGGGGTACACATACCACACTTTGGGAAACACTGCAGTAAAGCATGGGCAGGTTCATCCTAAAATTGGTTTTACTGTGTTTTTCTAAAATTGATTTCTTTTTATCCTTTGTTATATTAAAGAACTATTCTATTGAAATATATGTAGTCTAGCCTAAAAAAATTAACTTATGGTGAAATAACTGTTTGGAGAGTGATTAGTCAGTGCCTTTAATTTACTTTCTATGCGAAAAATCCTCCTTTTTTAAAATATAAATAAAGTAATCCTGTGTTAATAAGTTTCAAATGTGTGTATATGTGAGTGAATTTTTTATTGTGATGTCAGAAACTTTTCTAGATTTTAGCACCAATTTATTTGAATTAATTGTTAATATTAAAATAAGGTATTTATCCCTGCCCTCTTTTAAAAAAACCCAATAAAACATGAGAAAACAAAGAAAAACCCACCCGGGTTGGGTTTTTCTGGAAAAACTGTTTTATGCAACTCTGAGAGTGAAGAGTCCAGTTAAAATGTTGTACGGTATAATATTTTAAAAGTATCTGTAACTGTAGGTAATAAGATCAGGAAAATTTAGCTTATTTCAATTGTGAATTGGCATCTCAAGTATTGTGCAGTTCTTTATTTGTGATTTCGATTTCAGTGTACTCGGTTAGTATGTAATTATCATATAATTAATGCTGATTTGTTGATAAAATTCTATTATGAAAAGCCCACTTTACTTTCTTCAAGGGTTTTTTGGTCTGGTAAAAGAACACTATCTCTGAAAGTGTCATTAATAATTTATCAGTGTAAATCACATAATAATGTATTAATAATTCTAGGCTTTATTAAAACTATGAATATTATTAGTTTTCTTTTCTGTTAAACCTAATTTTATTTTTTATCTAAAATTTGTAACCTTGTTTGTTTCTATTTGTAGTTGCGAGCAGATGTTGTACCCAAGACTGCTGGTAAGATTTGTTTGCTGTTTTTTTTATTAAGTTTGTTAAAACTATATGAAGTGTTTTGTGAAACTCTTTTAACTATTCTCTTTATTTGGGGAAGGAAACTAAATGCAGAATAGTGAGCTATTGCTTAGTTGTTCATATTCCAAGACTCAAGCAATTTCATCATATCTTATATTCGAGATACCTGCATCGTAACAACACTCCCCAGTAACAAAATAAAAAAAGCTATTAGCATTAACATAAATATGCATTGATTTAATATCAAATATGCCGAATTGGATTCAATTTTGTTAGGAATGAACAAATACCTGAACTGTAAGTTTATTTTCTATGTGTTATTTTGTTTAGTTTCATGATTGAAATTTCAAGGTAAAATAAAGCTTAAAAGTACAAATATATTGCCATAGAAGAGCTTAGCCTTTCTTTTGCTATCTGAAGCAGTTTAGTGTACCTGCAGAAGTGAATTTGAGGAGTTATCTGCTGGATTTTGGGGACATAAGAATTGGCAGTATTAAGCATTAATGACATCAAAAATATTTCTTTAATATTAGATTCCTTATTTTTAGAGAACTTCCGAGCTCTGTGTACTGGTGAGAAGGGTTTTGGTTTCAAGAGCAGCACCTTCCACAGGGTGATTCCAGGCTTCATGTGTCAAGGGGGTGACTTTACCAGACACGACGGTACTGGAGGCAAATCTATCTATGGCAACAAGTTTGAAGATGAGAATTTCATCCTTAAGCATACTGGAGCAGGTATGTGTGTGTCTCGAACGAAAAACATATTGCTATTATAACATAACTTACTAACAAAGTATTAGCTCTAGTTGGTTTACTTCACCAGAAAAAAAGTCTGCCAGTTTTTCTTTTTGGATTAGTACTATCCCTAATATACTGATCTCCAGCTTTGTGCTTTTTCACATAAACATATTAAGAACTTTTTTACTTTGTTCTAAAAGCAGATGATTTTAATAAGGAATACACTTGATTTCACAATTCATGTTCCTCCTCCCATTTGCAATTTCTTTCTCAATGAATTCTTAATCATGAATTATGCTTTTTTCTTCAGATTTTCATTATATCTTATCCACAGTTTTTGTGTTTATGTTAGTGCTTCTAACTATTGTTACCGTATGGTAATTTAAGTGTTATTATTTAAGCCAGCATAGCCAAGAGGTTAGTCAGCGTCTGAGAGATAAGGATACTGAATTCGATCATCAGAGCTCTAAGAAAATATAAAGATCTATTAATGAAATAGAAGGTTTTCTTTCTGTACCTTCTAGAATGCTGTAATTTGTCATTTCCGTTTCTGTTATTTAGTACTATAAAAGATCAGGTGTTTTAAGCCAAAACGCCAGTTACCTTGTTCCCTGTAGGTTTGAAGGTTCTTAATAAATCTCTAACTTTCTGGATGGATTTAGCTACAATATTTTGTAGTTTTCTTACTTTACTTGGGTTTAAAATACATATTTTTAATCATTACGTTTGTTGTAAATTTTGGTAATTTTATAATTTAGTTTCATTCAATTTGCTTGTTTTTTATTTGAATTTCTCATTTTTAATTAAATATATAACTAAAATTAATTTTTTGTATTTATTAAAATTTTTTTACTAATTTTGCAGATTTACCATTGCAATTTATGTTCTATTTATCCATCTTATTGATTCATTTGTAAAAGAATTAAACATAGCTTTTTTATTCAGTTTTTTTTTCCTTTCTGATCTTAAAGTTTGTTAATTGATTAAATATAATTGAATTTCATTTAGGTATGGGTTAATGTAATCTTTATTTTAGGTTTTAAATATTTTTTTAGGATAACTTATCTTTATGCATAGAATATGAAAAAATTATCGATATGCAGTGTTTTCATCATGGATAAAAAGTGGGTGCATTCAAAAAGTTAAGCGAGATTTCTAAAAACTAAAAAAACACAAACTCTGGAAAAAATCATTTCTTTAATTATAATACATTTTAACATCTTCTATTTTTTAAAGCATTGAATATTTTTGGTGCATCATCATAGAAGACTTTGCCTTGACAAGGTATTTGTCGCATCTTACATAAAAAAATGCATATAAAAAAATATTTGAACGTCTTACATGAAGAAACCTTACCCACGGTAAACACGTGATTGCAGAGAAATGTGTTCTGAAAGGGGTTCTGTGGTTGTGTTTTGTTGTTGGAAAAGGTTCTGAACAATACTGGTAAATAATGAAGCTAGATAACGGGGCAGATGTTTAAAATAATGAAAGATCCTGGAAGAAAAGTTGAACGGATTTTATTCTTAACGGCATAATTTGAAGCTTTTTCCAAAATGCGAGAGAAATTCGCGAGTTTTGAAATTTATTTATAGAATGCGTGAATTTCTCGTGGTAATAATTTTTTAATGCGAGGAAAGAAAAAAATATGCGAAGTTCTCGGCTGTAGTGAAAACACTGTAATAATTTAAGCCACAACAATTTTTAAAGTCCTATGCTATTTTATATGTATGTTTCAAAAAGTAATTCTCACACATTATCTAAAAAAGAGAAAAAATTTAGTTTCTCTTAACCTGTCTTTATTTATAATCTCTGCACAAGTGTTTTTTTTTTTTTTTTTCCTCTCGAAAAAGTAAACTAAATTTATTTTTTTTGATAAACCGCTTAGGTTTTTCTATAATTTGTTCTAAATTATTAGAAAATAAATATTTAAATGTGCATTTTTTAAGGTGTTCATGTAAAAAATTCTACTTCCTTGAGAAAAGAAACTTGAAAAAAATTTAAGGAGTTGAGAATAATCCTAATACTTCTATTCTCAAATGTATCTTTTTTTTTTTTTTTTTTTTTTTTTTTTTTTTTTTTTTTTTTTTTTTTTTTACTCATTCTCTTTTAGTACCAGATTTTACACTTAAGTTTTGAAATGAATAGACTGGTAGTACTTGCACGCTATTTTTTTAAATTTTCCTGATGGATTCATTTGTTTTTAGGTATTTTATCCATGGCTAATGCTGGTAAAAATACCAATGGATCACAATTCTTCATCTGCACAGCCAAAACGACTTGGTAAGTTTAATATTACTACGAGTTATCTTTTCCCTTCTATTGGAATTCCTCTAATTTCCAAACTAAACCTGATAGCGATGTTTCAAATGTGCATGTAGAAGGTCAAATGATTATTAAAAGAATAGCATTTTAAAGAGATCTCTAAATACATTATCATACTTGCCAACTTTTACGGATTATCCGTAAAATGTATGGATTTACGTCTAATTTTACGGGTCTACGGATTAACCTGAAATTTATACGGGTCCCCCGTTTTTAGCGTTGCATGATTAGCGCATCGGTAAAATTCCGCGATTATCAGCTGCTACGGAGCTAGAGTAAAACCATTTGTAAAGGGGGAAAACAGAAAAAATGACAGTTTTCCGATCTATTCCAAAGCAACACGGTAACCACACACCCCTTATAAGTGGCTTATCCTCGTAACCATAATAACGGCACGTTCACGTGTAAACCAGTTGATTGGTTATTCTCCTTTTCTCCGTCCTAACTGCTTCCAGTCTCCTCTAGTGAATTCGCTGTTCCTGTCATTATTGCCACTCCCCGTTTCTACTACGTCACTGAACTAGCCGATCCAAACGTCGTTCTCCCTCCCTCTGTAGCGAACGAAAACGGTACTGAACTGTCGACTACTACTTAGCTTGTAATCACGTGGTGTGCGTTAAAAATGAAACCGAAGAAAACTTATTTTCAATCGTATAAGAATTCTTATACTGCAGAGTTTCCATGCATAAAAAAATCAAACAAAGGAGAAAAGTATGCTTATTGTACGATTTGTTTTTCTGACTTTCTAATATCGCACGGAGGTAGAAATGATATACATCGCCACGTGACCGGACCGAATCATGCCAAGAACATTGAAAACGCTGAAAATAACCAAAGACTAAGCAAATTTTTTAAGCCACCTGATAATGTCCAAGATGAAGTAATGCGTGCTGAGTTATTGTTTACCTCTTTTTTAGTTGAGCATAATGTTCCGCTAAATGCCGCCAGCCATGTGGGTCCGCTTTTTCGAAAGATGTTTCCGAAAAGTGAAATTGCGAAACGTTACGGATGTGCTAAAACCAAAACTGCATCCCTTGTCCATGAAATGGCTATGGATCGAACTTCAGAAATTATTAAATATTTGCAAGAACAAGCATTTACTGCAGCATGTGATGGTAGTCACGAAGCTGATTATAAGTTGTACCCAGTTGTGGTGAGTTATTTTAACGTGGATCTTCAACGCATTGAAAGTACTTTATTGGCAATCCCAAATTTGGAAGAAAACTCCACAGGTGAAAATATAAGCTCCCTTCTTTTAAATGTGTTTGCTAAATGTGACATTCCTTTTAGAAATTGTATAGCATTCAGTGCAGATAATGCTTCTGTTATGCAGGGAAAGAAAAATGGTGTGATTTCATTTTTGGAAAAAGAAAATGAGCACATAATATCAATTGGATGCTGCTGCCATTTAATACATCTTGCCTCTGAAAAAGCTGCTGCAACTTTTCCCGTTAGGATAGATGAAGTTTTGGTAGATATTTTTTACCACAAAGGAGCGTTAATCGTAAGGACTCTCTTAAGAAATTTCAGGAAATGTATGGTAAAGAAGCACAAAAAGTGCTTAAACATGTGTCAACTCGCTGGTTATTGTTAGGGAGAAGTCTTACTCGCTTGGTTAATCAGTGGGATCCACTTACAAGTTATTTTAGAGCTGAAGTTTCTACTTCCAGTGTGTCTGTATCATCTACTTTGTCATTTTTCAAAATACCAAAAGTAGTTGATACAGAAAGCAACACAGGAGTAGAAAAATTGAAGGATAAGCCTAAAGTGGAAACTAAGACTTGTGCTATAATAAAACAGCCTATGACACATAAGCAGGACCCAACTAATGATAAAAAAAGGAAAAGTCACAACAAGAAAGTGTGAATATGGTTAAAAGACATAAAGCTAAAAAAGATTCTTCAACTTGCTCCAAAGAAGAGAAATTTTTTATGTTTTTATCTTCAGATTTAAATAAGTGCTTCAGTTTATTTCTTTTAAATGTTATCCCTACATTTGAAAAGGTAAATGTGATTTTACAGTCATCTTCCCCGCAAATTCATCGATTAAGAGCTCTTCTTTTGGATCTGTTAAAAGAACTTTTTTCGAAGTTTGTTAAACCTTCTGAGGTTAAAGGAAAAGAGTTAACATGTGTCAATTTTCATTCTTCTTTCAACCATAAAGATCAGCAAGATTTAGTTATAGGCAACGCAGCAATGGACTTGATTTCAAGTTCTTCGGAAGAAGAAAAATCATTGTTTTAATCAGCTATTATCAAATATTTCATAACTGCCTGTGAATATATTAAGAAATTCCCTTTAAATGATCAAGTACTCAAACATGCTGAAGTTGCTGACTTAAATAAAATTGAAAACTCCAGTTTTGAAAGCGTGAGATATTTTGTAAATTTGTTTCCCTTCCTTTTAAAAACAAAAAGTAATGAAACCAAGCTTACAGCAATGGATGAACTGCAGAAACAGTTTTGCCAACTTCAGTTGGAAGATTTGAGTGAAATAACTGTTCCAGATAGATCAATTGATGTGCAGTGGTCAATGATAAGTCAAATGAAGGTGCGGATGGCATGTTTAAGTATGAAAAATTGGGAAACATTGTATTGTCAATTCTTCTCATACCACATTCAAATTCAGAATGTGAGAGAATTTTTAGTTTGGTTAGAAAAAACCGTACTGAATCGCGAACAATTATGTCTAATAAAACTTTAGAAAGCCTGCTTATTAAAAACCAAATTTTCTAAAATCTGTCACGAACAAGTGTTTGAAAAAGATTATTTAATTAAAGCAAAGAAGGCTACTTCAGCTTCTTTAAATTCAGCATCCTCTTTTGCTGTTGATTTANACTAAATTTATTTTTTTTGATAAACCGCTTAGGTTTTTCTATAATTTGTTCTAAATTATTAGAAAATAAATATTTAAATGTGCATTTTTTAAGGTGTTCATGTAAAAAATTTAAGGAGTTGAGAAGAATCCTAATACTTCTATTCTCAAATGTATATTTTTTTTTTTTTTTTTTTTTAATTGCACATTCTCTTTTAGTACCAGATTTTACTCTTAAGTTTTGAAATGAATAGACTGGTAGTACTTGCACGCTATTTTTTAAAATTTTCCTGATGGATTCATTTGTTTTTAGGTATTTTATCCATGGCTAATGCTGGTAAAAATACCAATGGATCACAATTCTTCATCTGCACAGCCAAGACGACTTGGTAAGTTTAATATTACTACGAGTTATCTTTTCCCTTGTATTGGAATTCCTCTAATTTCCAAACTAAATCTGATAGTGATGTTTCAAATGTGCATGTAGAAGGTCAAATGATTATTAAAATATTAGCATTTTAAAGAGATCTCTAAATACATTACCATTACAGTGTATGAACTAGAAGACAGCCAATAAAAACTAATGTTAAGTCATCCTGTTAATTTAGTCTTACAGAGATGATTGTGCTCCGTAAAAAATCCGGATTTTCTGCTAACTGCTACTCGGAAATTTCAAAAAAATCATCAATCACATTTATTTTTAAAAATCCTTGTATATTTTATTTAAAAATATTAGAACTAGAATTTATACTTGGCATCTCTTTCATTTGTAAATATTTTTTTTTCTGGTAGAATAATAAATGTGATAAGAGATAAAAGTCAACTTATACATAATTATTCATTTAAATTATGCTGTATATAAATTATTTAGAATTTCATGTTGTGAAAATATCAAGGATATAAATTCATAAAGACAATAATTTTTTGAAATGCGTCATTAATGATTTTACTCAAGGGGCTCACAATCACTAACATTAAGAGAGTTTAAATTATTGTTTAAAAGTTTTATAACTATAGATTTTGGGGCAGATTTCGGCTATGTTTATTACAAAAACAAAATTTATGCCTGTGTTTTTTAAAGAAACCCTGGTTTTTGTTGTGAGATGGTGGGGGGTACAAGTACATGTTGTAAAGGAATTTTGAAAATATTACAAGAAAATAAAAATACAGTGCAAACTTGTTTATGTTGATAGAAACATTAAAAATGTGAACTAATATCATAACTTCATTTATGCTTTTGATTTTAACAAAATAAAGTTTCATCTTTTTTACAAGTTAATTAAATTTAACTCATTTTAAAAGTATTCGGAAAGTGAATTTAGTGATCATGTATTTATGTTTAGTATTATTAAAAAGCAGTCGCATCAATTTATTTGTATTTTTGCAGAATAGTTCATTTCTAAAGTTTTATATTTATTTTAAGAGAAGCAGACTCTTTAAGCTTAAAAGTTAAAAAAAAAAACTAAATTACTGGAACCAACTGAAAAAACTTTTTAAATCTTAACTAAAACTATACATCTTTAAGAATTTAATTTTTAAAAATGGACTTTTAAAAAAAATTTTGGTTTAAACCAGCCAACCCAGATACATAGCTGCCAACTCTACTGAATTTTGCTAGTTCTCCTGGTCTACTGGCTTAATAAAAATTCTCCTGGTTTTTGTACATTTTAGAAAATTCCTTAAAATTGCTTTTGAAATAGAATTTTTGTGCAGATTATTGCTTGCTTCATTATTTAAGCAAGTGTCACTAATGCATAAGGAAGCGAGCCTCATTTATAAAGGATTTTTTATAGGAATTTGTAAAGGATTTTTTGGAGTAATTTAGCTAATGTCTTCTGACTTTCTATTATGAGGGGCTGAAAAAGATTAAAGACTGTTATATGTTAAGTTTATTGCTGTCTTTGTTCTGTGTCAAATAGCACCCTAGTATGTAACATTCAATACAGTGTGACAGACATTTATAACTGACTTGGTCAACAATGACATTTATGTTTGGGATATCCATGGGTGCAAGTCTTCCGTCCCCAGGACGGATTTCCGTTTTTCGAAAATGTCCGCGGATGGAAACAATACGGAATTTTTTTTCTGCCCTTAAAAATACTTTTTAAGTCTACGTTATTGGTCTATTTTCTTATGTCCTGTTATTTTATCAAAAGACAGATGAATAAATATTTTTTGTACAGTATTTAAACTTGATGTATTATGGTAAAGCTTTCTTAGATAGTTTGCATATGTCGAGGGGGTATTGTGTATGTTAGGTATTTCAGTCAAAAGAATTTCAGTCTTGACCTTCTTTCCAACTTGCACCCATGCGGATATCTCTTTCTATCGTGTCAGTCATATGTCCTAAGGAGGTCCTGTGTGTGTGTGGGATATGTCCCCTGCAGCATCGATTTCTGTTCTGGAGGGAGTATTATAGTGAGGCAATCTCCAAAAAGTACAAGTAAGTTAACAAGTACTAGTTTGCCTTGTCAGAGTTTGAATGTTAGAGGAAATCTCAGTGGTTGATATGTAACACTTTTCTACTCCTATTTTCTATCTTTTCTTACTTCAGCATGCCTCTTTTTATTTCCAATTTTTCTTATTTTTTTATGTCATTTTATTTACTCATCTGTCATTTCTGCTATCCCCCTTTGAGCATAATGGCGACCAAGGAATGCTGAATAATGATTCAAGGTCAAGTATTCAGGGTTACCACTCCATAGGGAAAGCCTAGAAAATACAGGGAATTTTGTTTCTTATTTTTGTCTTTTAAGAAAATGGTGACCACTTGAGGCAAAGATCTGTGGGATATTTAACCATATTTCTGCTTTGCTTAACTATTTCATTTACTACAGCATTATTTAAGTATATTCAGCTGTTTTTCCAGCAATTAAAACTAATAAATATAGCCAGCCAATATATTTCATGCAAGAGCACATGAATTTTTTCCCTCCAGATTTAAGTGGCAGCCCTGGTATTGCAGCTGCACCTATTTTTCAATTAATTTGTCTTGAATGGTGTGTGTGTGTGTGGATGGGGCAGAACTTGGTGGAACATAAATCATTTTTACTGCGTCGGCTTCTGTGCCTGCTTGTTAATTAATGTTTAACTGGTCTGTAATAGAATTGCACAGCATAGAGGATTAAGATTGTGATACACTTGTTTTTCTTTCTGATTTTTGTTAATGTTTTAATAAAATCTTAACAGAATTAACAATCCTGTATCAAATTCACGGCTGCGTTATAATTTTTGCAGAAAGATTTTTTCTAAGTATTATATTCAGAAGATGCCTTAATAGTTGCATTGTAAATTAATAAAAATTGTAGATTTCAATAAATCGTGGAACATGAAGTAAAATCGAGCTTTTCCAAAAGAACTTCTTTTGAACTAAAATATATATGAAATTTTATTTTTTAAATTTTATAAGTTACAAGATTAGTTTATTTATAAAATGCAAAATTTGCCAAAAACAATTTTGATACATTTTCTAAGCTCATATTTTTATAAATGTATTGTGTATACAAATTGTATTACTTATGCATCATAATTATACTGTTAAAGCCTCAATGAAAAGAGGGAAAAATGAATTAAATGATCAGAAAAGTGATTATTTAATTTTTTAGTAACTTAAACTGTCTCTACAAACGGAAATGTTTTTTGCAGGTTGGATGGAAAGCACGTAGTATTCGGTCAGGTCATTGATGGTATGGATGTCATCAAGAAAGTAGAGAGTTATGGAAGTCAGTCTGGCAAGACCTCCAAGAAAATCACAGTAACAAACTCTGGACAGTTGTAACCCTAAGATTTTTCTTGGATTTTTTCTTATGTTTTGTAAACGTTTTTTATAATTAATAAATTGACTGAATGAACGAACAATCATTTGGTTCAGATTTTATTATATTAAGCAAGCTTAAGAGCCGTTGGGGGTCTTTTTAAGCCATGTAAAATAGAAAAATGCAGGCTTGGGTATGGTAAATGAAACTGTAACCTTGGATAGTAGCCATAATGCATTTGAAGTACTTTATTGTTTACCAATTTAATACAGATGGATTCTTTTAGGAATGTTTATGGGCAATTGACTTGTGTTACTATAGTAGAGAACTTTTAGACACACAATCTAGTTTTCAATTTTATTTCGTGTAAAAATTTTGCATAGTGCCATTGGGGTGAACTTCAATATTTTGTTACCAAACTAAATTTTTAAATTTGAAAATCTCCAAATTTCTGAATATGAATGTGATAGTTGTGAAATGAGAGATGGCTAGAGTAAATAATATTTGGCATATAGATTAAATTCATTTCTTTAAAATAAAAATTAGGAGTTCATTTTAAATTAAAAATCAACATTTGATAATTAAAGATAAAAAAATTTATCAAATTCATAGTATAGAAAACAAAAAATATGAAGTTTAGCAACTTGGAATAAGAGGATGCGTAGCGTTTTTTAAAAGCCCTTAAAAGTACATTTTTCGTTTGGTGTTTTTAAAAAGTGCTTAATTTTTCCTTTCTTTCAATTGAGATTCTTCCTTTACCATGTTCATTTTTGCTGCGACTTATGCAAATTAACAGTTCACATTGTTCTATTCAACGTTCTCTCAATTAATAATTCTACCCCAAAATATTTTGGCGTATTGTCAGTCCGGAGCGCTTGAAAACTCCATTCGTTTTACATAATTCAATTGACAATTTTTAAAAATGTCAAAGGTTTTTTCTTTGACACACAAGTGTAGTAAATAATTGATGAAGTTTGTGTAATTGCATGGTTATTGAAATATAAATACTTTTATTTAATATGTTAGATCAAATTTTAGGTTACAGGAAATGTGTATAATTAGTTAAAATATCAAAGATTACTAATTTTTTCTTTCTTTTTTTTTCGCACAAGACTTAGAGTAATAAAATTAAAAGCAAGTTAACACATTTTTTGTTACAACGTATTACATGGGTGCCACTCTTCAGTCCCAGGGACTGAAATCAGTCTTGAGAAAATCAAGACTAATAGTTCTATCAATTAAATAAAATAAAAAAAAATTTCATTATGAATTTTTTTTGTCGAAATAAAAAAATATTGTATCTTAATTAAAACATCTGATATGGTATTGATGTCAAGACTTAAATTTATCATCTTTTTGTCAGCTTCACTAAATCTCATTCTTTAAGGTCTTGACAAATGGGATTGATTGAACTTTATCTACTTGTATAATTAAATTTGTACTTTGCTGAATCTAAATCTGCTCAAGATTCTTCCTCCACCATAACCTATTATCTTGCTGGTCAAAGTTAAATCAAGATTATTTTTAAAAAGAAATTATAGTGCTAGAACAAAAAATAAGTGAAAAATAGGGATACGAATAGTTTCAGGTTCAGTAATAGGTGTAAATAAAAAAATATACAAGGTTAGCTGTTATTTTCGTTTTGTTTGTTAAAAAGACATAAAATAAAAATAAAGAAATTAGAAAAAATAATCAAATGATTGATTTAATTTCGTTAGGTCTCTAGTTGAATATCTTCTTCCTCTTGTTTTTGATGGTAATAACTAATCGTCCGTGTCTAAGTTCGGAATGGGTGCGGGGCTAGACTAGACTTGATAGGTGGTGGACTAGAGTACCTGCCCACGAAGCGGGCATCTCACACCTTCATCTATGTTGACCAAATAGGTGAGTGGGATTTCTTGGCATAGGCGAGTGAAACAGATAGTGTTGGCTGGTTACAGTCAGATCTGAAGGTTAAGATAAAAATATAATATGTAAGGCTGTTGAAAATATATGAAGATATTAATATAATTTGAAATAAAATTAACTATGATGTTGATCTGTCTTGTGAGGCACAATTAGGTATAAGCATAGATATAAAGGCATAAAGATCAATCACTCGACCAAACGGACGTCACGGTGGACGTTGACATCACTGGTCTAGTAACTAGTTTGTACTCTATATCCACGCCCTCTAGTGAACTGCGGTGCTTGTTTATTGCAGCTGTACATAATTTGTTCTTTTTATTATTTGATTTTTATAAGTTGTAATGATTAATAATAATTGATAACATTCCGTCTCTTTGCCAGAAAAATCTGAAATTCNCTTGATAGGTGGTGGACTAGAGTACCTGCCCACGAAGCGGGCATCTCACTCCTTCATGTATGTTGACCAAATAGGTGGCTGGGATTTCTTGGCATAGGCGAGTGAAACAGATAGTGTTGGCTGGTTACAGTCAGATCTGAAGGTTAAGATAAAAATATAATATGTGAGGCTGTTGAAAATATATGAAGATATTAATATAATTTATGATATAAAATTAACTATGATGTTGATCTGTCTTGTGGGGCACAATTAGGTATAAGTCATGGGGTGGTATACTCCCAAGGCAAGAATCACCTTTGCTCTTTTCCTCGCCACGTGGGCATCCATATATAAGAATAAAGGGGGGGGAGGGCTATCTATTTGTCTTACTAAATTTATTTGTTAGAATACCTTCAGAGAGAAGGAAGTCAATGATTGGGTTGTGGTTTCTTGCATCCGGGATTAGTTCCTTATCGAAGATATTATTGAAATCAGCAGAATTGGAATTCATGGCGCTGCCGAAAAAGCTTTACTGTAATAAACTCACTTCTCGTGGCTTTATTGCTGATATTGAGAGGAGCTCCAGTCATTCATCTGACTTGTTTTGAATATTACTGAAACAGTATCAAGCAGGGCTTGCCCTGGCTGAGAATCACCATTTTACCTTTCCTCTTCCCAGGTGTATCCATAGTAAGAAAAAAAAGGGGGGGGGGGCTTATCTGTTATATCTACGTGATAATATCCAGTCGGCAAGCAGGAAATTAATAATTGGGTTGTGATTTCTATTGCCTTGGATGAGTTATTTGTTTAGGATTAATTTAAAGTCTACTATTGTGATGCACACTAATCGTGCCCCGTTAAAGGTTGTGTAAAAAAAAATTTAGATAATTTACCAAAACAAAAAAAAGGCTAAATTTTTTAAATAATGAAAAAAAAATGACAAAAGAAAACATTTAACTATGGCCCATGATTTATCATAGTGGCGGACATAAAGTGCCGCAATAAAACCCTTGTACTAAAAATACATTCAAAATTTAACGATAATTAGGGTGATCAAGGAGACATACCTTTTGAAGAACAAGGATGATGAAGTTACAGCAGACCCTAAAATTTTTATCCATAAAGCACAAACCAAAAAAAAAGTTTAAGGTAGTCGAATCAAAACACCATTTGGAGACTACTGACAAATGTTTTATTTATGTAGGATTTTTGATGAACACTATTGTTTTTTTGTTACAGAAAATAACACACTTATAAAGCACACCATCATTTAGAAAAGGGGGGTCATTAACACTGCATCGAGGAGAGAATCAAAGAAACAAAACTTGGCGATTGATATCACAGTATTAAGATGGAGATGCTTGTGTAAATCCATTTCTGCTAATCTTACACCAGTTGCGGCGAGAATCATGCTGGTTCGGGAGAAGACTTATTGGTTTAATTTGTCGACAAAAAAGGGGGGATGCCATCACTTGCAACGAGGTATGTGAATGAAAAATACCTCATGTAGAAAATTCAGGAGGTGCTCGGAAGACAATTATTGTAGATGAGGAAAAAAAGACCATCCATTACGCTGTAGAAAATGCTGCTAATTATGGGTGAGTCGAGCCAGCAGGAATGACACAACGTCGATTTGGTATCTTGGATACGAGTCTATGATGTTGATAAAGACTAGGTATATTTTGCCTAATTAGTTTGAAGATTAGCGCCTTATGCCAGACGCGGTGAAATGTTTGGCCACGTCTAGCATAAGGAGAGCTGTAGTCTTATTTTTATAAAAACCATCGCTGATGAAGTCTTATCAGTTATTTAGTAGTTGATACATCTTTCCTGAATCCAAACTGTTGATTTGGTAGAAAGTTTATGTAGGGCAGCAGCCTCTGTAGTAGAATTCTTTCAAAAATGTTCCCGAAAGTCGGGAGAAGACTTATTGGTCTAAAATTTGTCGCTATTCTGCTGTCCTTTCCTGGTTTAGGGATTAAAGTTATTGTGGCAGTTTTTCGGGAAGACATTACATTTTAGACAGGCGCTGTAAATATTACATAGATTATTAACCTGGTTAATCGGGAGGTGCTTCATCATATTATTATTTTGTTGCCTTTTCGTTATTTAGCTTGTTAATGATATCGGCCTGGTCTGTTGTATCAATGGTGCCAGTGTTGTTATTTTTAAAGTAATCATCATAGATATTGTTAATATTTTCTTCTTTATCAACACTCGGTTGTAAGTTTAGCTTGAACTGGTTCTCTATAGTTTTAGCGAAAATTCTTAATTTATCGTTATAGATGTTACGGTTATTTTCAATAATGGGCTGGTTAATGCTTTTGGTTTTGATGATTTGAGCGCTCTGACCATTTTCCATACTGGCTGATTTTCAGTGCAGAGCTCTGCCACTTTGTCATTCCAATTATTGTCTCTATATTCTTGGCATTTTCTTTTATTGCTTTTTGTGATTTTATTTAACTCCTGTTTGTCTTTTGCATCGCCGTTTCTCTGCCACCCTTTTCTTATATAATTTTTGGGTCTAATTTCTTCTCTTAAATGCTGTGACAAGGCCATGTAATTATTTTTATTAACAGATATTTTTGTTTCCAAGTGAGCCGTTTGGATATTATTTGTAAATGAATTTATAGAGGACTCAATATCATTAATGTCTTGTATTATATAATTATTATCGTCTTGTACGAGAATATTGGAGAATGGATTCCAGTTTGTTTTCTTGATTAGAACTGGGATGTCTGGTATTACTTCACCGAGTGTGGCTAGTACTGGTACGTGATCACTTGATAACTCGGTGATTGTGTGGCAGCCAAGTGGTG